TTTTTTCTCCTCCCTAAGGAACATAAAGATTTTTTTTTAGGGATCCCTGGGTGGCGCAGGGGTTTGGCGCCTGCCTTTGGCCCAGGGCGCGATCCTGGAGACCCGGGATCGAGTCCCACGTCGGGCTCCCGGTGCATGGAGCCTGCTTCTCCATCTGCCTGTGTCTCTGCCTCTCTCTCTCTCTCTGTCTCTCTGTGACTATCGTAAATGAATAAAAATTAAAAAAAAAAAAAAAAAAAAGATTTTTTTTAAAAGATTTTATTTATTTATTCATGAGAATACACAGAGAGGAGAGAGAGAGAGAGAGAGAGAGAGAGAGGCAGAGACACAGGCAGAGGGAGAAGCAGGCTCCATGTAGGGAGCCGGACCTGGGACTGGATCCAGGGTCTCCAGGATCAAGCCCTGGGCTGTAGGCGGCGCTAAACCGCTGAGCCACCGGGGATGCCCCATAAAGATGTTTTTATTTAAACTTTTCTGGAGCACAGATAAAAAAAGGAAATTATTCCAAATATATATTTTTTCAGTTTCGTTGCATAAATGTCCTTAATAAAACCTTTCCAGAAGGTTTTCAATTTATTTTGTCCAGATCCATTAGAGGAATCATAATCTATGACAGCTATAGTGTTATAAAATATTTTTATTTTTTTTTCTTTTTCTTTTTTTTAATATTTTTTTAATTTATTTATGATACAGAGAGAGAGAGAGAGAGAGAGAGAGGCAGAGAGAGAAGCAGGCTGCACGCACCGGGAGCCCGACATGGGACTCGATTCCGGGTCTCCAGGATCGCACCCTGGGCCAAAGGCAGGCGCCAAACCGCTGCGCCACCCAGGGATCCCTCTTCTTCTTTTTTTTAAGATTTTCTTTATTTATTCATGAGAGACAGAGGAGAGAGACAGAGGCAGACTCAGGCAGAGTGAGAAGCAGGCTCCATGCAGGGAGCCCGATGTGGGACTCGATCCAGGGACTCTAGGATCACGTCCTGGGCTGAAGGAGGGACTCAACTGCTGAGCCACCCAGGGATTCCCCCCAGATTTCCTCTATTTCACTTGATCATTTCCATCGGCACCCAAACATGCTGCTCTATCTCCTCTTAAAGACAAACAAGCAAGAGACAACGGCAGTTCCTCTAAAAATTAAACCTAGAATTACCATAGGATTCTGCAGTTTCACTTCTGGACATACACCCTAAAGACTTGAAAGCAAAGATGCAAACAGATATTTGCACACCCATGTATCACAGCATACACAGGCAGCCAAAATGGAAACAAAGCTTGTGTCTATGGAAGGGTGAGGACACAAACAAAATGTGGTCCATCCACACAGTGAAATATTATTCAAGCATTAGAAAGGAAGGCAGTTCTGGCACCTGCTACAACATAACTGAACCTTGAGGATTATGCTAATTGACATAAGCTTCTGGAAGACAAACACTGTATGATTCCACTTGCTTTCAGTCCCCAGAGTCATGGAGTTCACAGAGCCAGAGAAGAGCACAGTGGTGCCAGGGGCGATGGGGTGGGGGTGGATGGGGAGTTAGCGTTTAAGGGGGACAGAATTTCAGTTTTGCAAGAGGAGAGCTCTGGAGATGAACCATGGTGGTGGTTGCAAACAGTACAATGCCACTGAACTACACATAAAAAAGGGTTAAAATGGTCAATTTTATGTATATTTTACGCCTCTCCCCAAATTCCCAAACAGAAAAACAAACATTAATTCCTGACCTCATGTCTTCTGTCTCCAGTTACTTGGTTTCTTTTTTTTTTTTAATTTTTTTTTTATTTATTTATGATAGTCACACACAGAGAGAGAGAGAGAGAGGCAGAGACACAGGCAGAGACAGAAGCAGGCTCCATGCACCAGGAGCCCGATGTGGGATTCGATCCTGGGTCTCCAGGATCACACCCTGGGCCAAAGGCAGGCACCAAACCACTGCGCCACCCAAGGATCCCCAGTTACTTGGTTTCTTTAAGAGCAAACTTCTGGAAAGAGTGCTGTCTCTGGTGATTGTCCCCAGTTCTCATCCTGTGCCCCCCAGAGTCCCTCTAATCAGACTTTTGGTTTCCACTGCTCTTGAGAAACTGCTCTTGCCAAGGTCACAGTGAGCTCCTGGCTACACACATCAGCTTCAGGGGCCTTCCCCTGAGCTTTCTCCTCCCTCCCTGGTTCCCTTTTTGCTTTTTTTGGCTGGATCCCCCTCCCCTGAACTCTCCTCATTGGTGCCCCCAACCTCCTTCCAGCTTTTTTCGTGGCCCACAGCCTCCTAGGTGATGTCCCTCAGAAATCACATGGCTGTCTAAACCAGGGGGTGCAACAGGGTGGGTGTGCCCATATATGTGTCTTGTCTGACCTTCCCAGGAGTTCCATCCCCAAATACCTGTTGTCCCGCCTCTTGGCCTCTCAAACCTCACAGAACCCAAACCCAGCTCCTTATCTTCCCAGACTTCCTCATTCCAGGGAGTACAACTCCACCCTTCCAGTCACTGGGCCCAGATCCCAGCAGGCCCCCTTTCCCACACACCCCATACTTCATCCATTAGCAAATGCAGCTGGCTGTGCCTTCAACATGCTGTTGTTTCCATAATCTGACCACTTAGAGCCCTTTCACCTAGGTCCACCCTTATAACCCTTCCACCTAGTGGAGAGAGGGATTTTGTAAAAATGCAGTTAGGAGCACCTGGGTGGCTCAGTAGTTGAGCGTTTGCCTTTGGCTCAGGTCATGATCCTGGGGTCCTGGGATCCAGCCCTGCATTGGGCTCCCCAAGGAGCCTACTTCTCCCTGTGCCTATTTCTCTGCCTCTATGTGTCTCTCATGAATAAATAAATAAAATCTTTTAAAAAATGCAAGTTAGTCTTATTTTTCTGCTCAGAGCTTTTCCCTGCTCATCCAGAATAGAAGCCAAAGTCCTGACAGTGGTAGCTTCTAAGGCCTTCACTCTCTGCTCCCCACCCCTGTCCCTGCCCCTTTGCATTGTTTGCCTTGCTGAGTTCACACTGGCTTCTCCACTGGTCCTCAAACCCTCCTGTCTCAGGGTCTTCTCCACTTGCTGGTCCCCGTGGGTGTCCACAGGCCCTCCCCCTTCCCGTGGGTCTCCACTCCACTGACACCTTCCTGCCCTGTTCATAAAACTGCCCCAGAAGTCCAGCTGGCTCAGTGGGCGGAACAGGTGACTCTTGATCTCAGAGTTGTGTAAGAAGCCCCACATTGGGTGTAGAGATTATTTAAAAATTAACAATTTTAGGGGCACCTAAGTGGCTTAAGGGGCCAGTCTTGATTTTGGCTCAGATCATGATCTCAGGGTGCTGGGATTGAGCCCATCGTTGGGCTCTGCATTCAGCAGGGGCAGTGTGGAGGGGGCTGTCTGTTCAAGGATCCTCTCTCCCCTGCCCTCCCCCTGCTCTCTCTCTCTCTCTCTGAAATAAATGTCTTTTTTTTAATTTTTATTTTAAAAAATTTTTTTTTAAATTTTTTATTTATTTATGATAGTCACACACACAGAGAGAGAGAGAGAGGCAGAGACACAGGCAGAGGGAGAAGCAGGCTCCATGCACCAGGAGCCTGATGTGGGATTCGATCCCGGGTCTCCAGGATCGGGCCCTGGGCCAAAGGCAGGCGCCAAACCGCTGCGCCACCCAGGGATCCCTAATTTTTATTTTTTAAAGATTTTATTTATTTGTGCATGAGAGACACAGAGAGAGGCAGAGACATAGGCAGAGGGAAAAGCAGGCTCCCTGCAGGCAGTCCGATGCAGGACTTGATCCCCAGACTTTGGGATCATGCCCTGAGCCAAAAGCAGACACTCAACCGCTGAGCCACCTAGGCGTACCCCCCCCCCCCAATTTTTTAAAAATAAACATTTGGGACACCGAGGTGGTTCAGTGGTTGAGTGGCTGCCTTCGGCTCAGGGCATGATCCCAGGGTCCTGGGTTTGAGTCCCACATTGGGCTCCCTGTGAGGACTCTGGTTCTCCGTCTGTCTATGTCTCTGTCTCTCTCTGTGTCTCTTGTGAATAATAAAAACAACAACAACAACAGCAAAAACCTGCCCCAGAATAGGCCCCTTCCTGGGCTCAGGACCTAAATTCGAATTCATTCAATATGTCTTTGGGGGAGGAGGGGAAGGAGACCCAAATATTATAAACTTCAGGTCCCATCTATTTTCCCTGATTTATTCTTCTCCCTGGTACTTATCACCATCTGAAAGGATGGTTTGTCTTTTATCTGCTTTATTGTCTTCTCCCATCCTTAAAATGTAAGTTCCACAAGGGCTGGGATATTTGCTTTCCTACTATTGCATCCCCAGAGTTTAGAGCGGTGCCTGAAAAAATTCTTGTTGAATGACTGAAGGTATGAATGAATGAATATTCATGCCCAGATAACCACGGCTTTCAAGGTAAGAATTTTCTCTTACAGCCCCCCCCCCTCCCCGCCAGCCCTCTCCCTTCTCCCTTTTCCGCTCTCTCTTCGGGGTGCTCCCTCTCTTATTCCTTCCTGTCCAGACCTCTTCTCCCCACCCCTCCCCAGATTTCTTTCGCTGTCCCAGATTGTAGCCTCATTAAAGGTCCCACTTTGAGTTAGAAGGACCCTGCATTCCTGGGGACCAGTAATATACTTAGGATACACAAATGTATTATCATAATAATGAGCTGACAAAATGGCCAATGTCTTTAGAGTCATTAAACCCACCTTTATAGCTATGATCACTTGTGAAGTGGCCACAGCAGGTTTTATTTTACCTCCATTATAGATGAGGAGACATAGACCTGGCAAAGCTCCTGCCAACCCAGCCTCCTGCATCTGTCTATATAGTAAGGCCTGCTGAGCTTCCTCTGTTTGGCCACAGACCAAAAAGCAAACAAAAAACCACTTCCAGCACTGTATCAACAACATCTCAATCTCTTCTGCAATATCTTGTCAGTCCCTAACGAACCCCCTCCTTTGAGCACTGTAGCAAGAAGGGTGGGACTCTGGAGATGATGGACTGGATAGCAGGAGGGACTCACATTAGTCACAGGAGAGAAGTTCCCATCTGGAGGTGGAGGGGGGAGGTTGACTTCCAGAGACAAGCATCAGGTGGGTGGCCAGGGTGTGACAGCATGGTGGCTGGGCTGTCTAGGGGTGCCTTCCAGCCCCCTTGTGCTCTGCAATGCAACCCATGGTCAAAGTGACTCCCCACCAAGTGCTCTTCACGTGGTCCCCGCTGCCAACCCCTATAGGCACTTCTTCAGCCCCTGATAAGTCAGAAGCAAGAGCCCTAAGATGGCAAGACAGGCAGAGCTGCTCCCTGGGAAACCAGCCCGGCAGGTCTGCTGGTGCCAGGGTGGAGGGTGGGGCTGCAGGTCAGCTCTAGCCAAGTCACAGAACTAACAAACATGGGGATCTGTGAGAGGGCCAGATAAAACCCCACCTTAGCTGGAGCTGGAGCTGGAGCTGGAGCTGGAGCTGGCTCTTCAGGGCCAGGGACTCTAGATGGGTTTGAATGTGGCTGTTTGGAGGCAGGGTTTGAGCGTACTTTATTATTGTGGGTTAGAAGCAATTTCACCAACCAGCAAGGAACACTCACCAGAGAGGTCATATACCATGAACATCTGGGAAACTTGTTAAAAAAGTACAGGCCTGCCCCAGGCCTACAAAATCAGAATCCCTAGGGTGGAGTTAGAGACCCAAATCTTTATTTTTAAAAGCCCTTTCAGGTAATTGTGATAATCAAAGGTTTGGAAATTATTACCTGGACTTTAAAGAGCACGTTTTTGGAAACTTCTCCTCTGGGTCTACTGGTTACCTGTGTTACCTTGGGAAAGTGACTTAACCTCTCTGAGTTTCATTAGCCTCATCTGGAAAATGGAAATAAGTGAATACCTCTTAGGAATCTGTGCAAACACATGCAATAGTCATGCCAAGCACAAGGGTCACTGGGAATAGAGCAAAGCTTCCTGCTCAGAGGAATTAGGAGAGAGGGGCCGAGGCTAAGGCCAAGGCCAAGGTGGTTCATTTTTGGCCACTGGCCTGGCCTCAAGAGCAGGGCTTGGGCAGATACAACTTATAAGAAGCACAGCAGAGATGTGTGGTTAAGACCTTGAGCTTAAGGGGTCAGAGATTTCTGGGTTCAAGTTCTAACTCCTCCTTTTATGAATGCATGACTTTGGGTGAGAGATTCACGGGAGGCTGGGAATCTGCTGGGGAGGCAGAACAGTATCCTGTGGGCTGGGTTCTGGGGTCCCACAGCACAGCTGCTAATTGGACCTGTGACCTGGAGCAAGCTACTCCACCCTGTGAGCTGCAGTTTGGAAATGGGGAGACTCCACCTAACGTGCTCTGTGGTTGGGAGGTGCCAATGGGATAGTGCCTGTGACATGCTTGTCTCACTGCCTGACTGCCATGTTTCGTAAAGGGTAGCTGTTACCACCATCAACCCCTTGTCTGGGGAAACCTCCAGCTTGTGACTGGTTTGAGTGTGTGGTTGTCACCTTTCACCTCATTGTCACTCCCTGTCCACCTGACACAGAGCTTTCATCACAATGCCCCCAGGGCGTCAGGGTTGGGGGCCCGTGGGCACCCTTCTCCCACCATAGTGGGGCCCTGGGCCCCTGGCCTTCCTCACCTCTTTCCCTCCCCAAAGTGTCCACTTCTGAGAAGAGCTCAAGTGGGGTGCTATTTGGTGACACTGTCTCTGTGAGGGCAGGCTGTCCAGAAGTTAACCTTTCAATCCCCAGAGATGATGGGAATGCAGGCTGTGTTGTGTTAGTGCTGTAGGTGCTGCATGATAAATATTTCCGAGTAAGGTTTACACTAGATGTGCTCAAACAACCTAGGTCTATGTCAGAGGTACCCTTGGCCGCCAAGGAGGCACACCCTGAGCAGTGGCACCTGTCACTGTCCACATCTCACAACCGGTTGGCTCCTTACCATCTGTGGTGGGAGCTGGGGTCACTCCGGCCTCCTGGAAGGGGCGCTGCCAGAGAGAACCCCACTTCTGTGTGGGGTGTGTTGAGGATCTGGTCTCTAGCCAGTGGCTCAGCAGGCCCAGACCATCCCACCAAGGCCTTCCTAGGGATTGCTTCCCCCCAACCCCCCCACCCCCAGATTTGGGAGCATCTCTGGGCAGACACTGCCCCCTTGAGGCCTCCGCCTGCCATGATACTGGGCTGAGCTGACGCCACGTAAAAAGACATGGATCCAGATGATGCTTTCCTTTCCAGGGTCGTCCTCGGTCTCTGGAGTTCTGGACAGTGTATCCTTCTCAGCCTGAGAACCTGGAATCTGCCCTAATGCCATTTGTTGCCTTCCAGAAGAAACGCAACTTGGGGCAACTGCCAGGACACAAGTACATATAGACATAAGAGGTCTTGGGACTCTAGGCTTTCTGTAATTTGTAAAGAGGCGAGGGTCCAGGGAAAAATGATTTCTAGTAACATTTAGAATTAAGGTTAAGGATAAGTTTTTTAAATTTTTCTTTTAAAAAAAGATTTTATTTATTTATTTTTTTTTTGAGAGAGAGAGAAGGAGCAGGCAGAGGGAGAGGGAGAAGCAGGGAGCCTGTTGAGCAGGGAGCCTGATGACGTGGGACTCCTTCCCAGGACCCTGAGGTCATGACCTGAGCAGAAGGCAGACACTTAACAGCCTGAGCCAGCCAGATGCCCCTGAGGATAAGTTTAGAATCAAGCAAAAATAAGTAGTAGAGAGTTAAGGGTAAAGGGGAGGAATAAAACAAAGCAAAGACAGGATTAATTACAGGAAGGTCTGGATTACTTGGCTGGACTGAGAACACAGAGAGTCAGCAGGTGGAGGTGTGGGGATGTGGGTTCTTTGGTTGAATGACCCAGTGTGATAGCATGGCTGTTGCAGAGGAAAACATGAGAAAAGAAAAAACACCAAGAATCCTTCCACATTGAATAAGCATTATTATTATTGTGGTGCATTCCCTGTTGTTTTTTCCTATGTGTCTTCTTTTATTTTTATTTTAAATTTTTTTAGGGAAGGAGAGGGAGAGAATCTTAAGCAGGATCCTCACTGGAAAGCCCAACACAGGGCTCAATCTCAGGGCTCTGAGATCATGACCTGACCTGAAATCAAGAGTCAGATTCTTAAGTGACTGAGCCACTCAGGCGCCCCTTATTTTCATTTTCCTAAAGTTTTATTTATTTAAATCATCTTTATACTCCATGTGGGGCTCAAACTCGTGACCCTGAGATCAAGATCAAGAGTTGTGTGCTGAGCTAGCCAGGTTGCCCCCTATGTGTCTTCTTTTAATGTCTTCATTGGAGTTAATGTCCTTATTGGGTTTTTTCACTTCATAAGAATTAAATCATAAACCATGTGAATTACAGAAAATAAAAACTATATCCATCTCCCTGCAAAAAAAGATCAGCCCCAAACGCAGAGCTGGGGTCCGACTGTGTCTGGGGCAGAGTCCCATCTGTACCAAGAGTCCGACTAAATAGTCAGCAAATCATCTCTAATTGCTGTCCAAGCCGACTGAGTCCTCAGCGCCCGTCCTGGGCCCGCTAAGATCCCGGCCTGGGGCCTCTGTCAATGTCATTTCCCCTGCTGGAATCCTGGCCCACATTCTTGTCTGGCTGACTCCCAGTACAAGCATGAGTGTCTCTACCCTGGGACATTCCCCCAGTGTCCCAAAATGGTTAGGTGCTGCTCACACATGCTTCTGTAACCCATAACAGCCTTTGACCAAACTATTGTCATCATTTCTTAGATCCCTGACTTCTGCTGGCAGGCGAACACTGTGTGGCAGAGACCCAGAGGCCATGGCTCGACAGCTCCTGGCACTGAGAGACTCAGCATGGACCGAGCAAGGAGAGTCAGCTGTCTGTGTGGAGAAAACTCCTGGGGGATCCCCCAACCCTGAGCCTGGCTGCTTACCTCTCCTCCTCTTCCTCCTCCACTGGAAGATGATGTTGGTTGCCCAGGAAGCTGAAAGGGAAAAGTCAGGTGAGGTGACAGCTGTGTAGGAGCTCACATGTGAGAGGCTCAGAAAGCCTGTCCCAGTCCTGCATGCATTTCCAGTTAGATCCAGCAGCCCTCTCTCATGACCTAAGAGGATGGGATCAGGGTCCCATTCAATTAGGCAAATACTGAGTATGTGTGAGGTGCAGGTGGCAAAGGTATCACTAGAGATGAATCTGACAATCTTGTCCTCAGAGGGCACCCAGTCTGGGAAGAAATCCCAAGAAGGCCTCATGGTGTAGGGTTCAGGTTGGAAGGCCAGGGTCTAGATCCAGACAGACCTGACCTCTTGTTCCCACTTGGCCACTGTGTGACTTTGACAGATTGCTTCCCCTCACTGAGTCTGTTTCCTCTTCTACAGAATGAAGATTATGAGAGAACCTATGTGGTTAGGTGGTTGTGAAAACCTTGGACATGGGCACATGGGTGGCTTAGTGGTTGAGTGTCTGTATGCCTTTGGCTCAGGTCACGCTTCTCCCTCTGCCTATTTTTCTGCCTCTGTGTGTCTCTCATGAATAAATCTTTATTTTATTTTTTTAAAATTTTTATTTATTTATTTTAATTTATGATAGTCACACACACAGAGAGGGAGGCAGAGACACAGGCAGAGGGAGAAGCAGGCTCCATGCACCGGGAGCCCGACGTGGGATTCGATCCCGGGTCTCCAGGATCGCGCCCTGGGCCAAAGGCAGGCGCCAAACCGCTGTGCCACCCAGGGATCCCATGAATAAATCTTTAAAAAAAAAAAAAAAAAAGGAAAGAAAAAAGAAAACTCGTAGACATTAGGATGCAAAAGTATAGGAAATGGTAAGAAATGCCCCCAAATGAGAATGCACTCTGGCTCTCATAGTCAACAAAGGCATACAGATACAACCAAGTATGTGACATCTGGAATGGGCCGGAGTGTGGACATGGGTCAGGCTAGCCCCTGAGGAGCACGAATGGGGCACTGGGTCCTGTGCGGCTGTCCAAGTCCTGGAAGCATGCTTCGGAGCTAGGCCCTTGGGGCTCAGATGGCAGTGAGTCCCCACCAAATATTCATATGCTCACCCTCATTTTCCGGTCCCAGCCTCCCTTAGTGGGTTTGGGCATGTGGCTAGTTCTGGACAACTGTCTGTGAGCAGGAGCGAAGGCCAAGTCAATTCAGACTTGATATGTCTTCTCCTTTTCTCTTCTCCATGCCTTGGATTCCAGCGGTGAAGCCCTACGATGCAGAGGGGCTACCAGACCCTCGTCAGACTTGCAGATTCGAGGGTTGTTTGTTGAGGCAGCTAATGCTAACTGCCACACTGCATACAGTACTACTGTTATTTCTGCTTATAGAGGCCAAGTCAGTGGCCTATGGTCACACAGCTCATAAATGGACAGAGCTGGAACCCACACCCAGGCCTGACTCACACGGCTGGTTTTTAGAAACCATGCTTACTTCACCTCATGACGGCCTGTTGTGAAGCGCTGCTATCACACCTAAGATTTTAAGATGTCCAGCAGGGACAGCCGGATGAGCAGCTGGGACAGTGAGAACGTTTTTTGTTTTTTTTTTTTTTTAATTTATGATAGTCACAGAGAGAGAGAGAGGCAGAAACACAGGCAGAGGGAGAAGCAGGCTCCATGCACCGGGAGCCCGACGTGGAATTCGATCCCGGGTCTCCAGGATCGTGCCCTGGGCCAAAGGCAGGCGCCAAACCGCTGCGCCACCCAGGGACCCCCAGTCAGAACACTTGGCTGGCTCAGTGTGAAATCCTGCCCTCTGGGTTGCACCGAGCACTTGCAGCACCAGTTTCACTTCTGCCAGTGCTGGTGGTTCAGAAGCAACACACAAGCGAGTCCCCTGCTTGGCGGAAGATTGCAGCCAAGGACTGGGGCCCTCATTGTGCAGATGGACGCACAAGGGAAGAATTCCTTCTGTGCCACTGTTTCACACTAGGCTCCTACCCGCTTGTCCCTCAATCCAGAAAGGCAGCAATGCAAACCATAAGCTTCAGAATTAGACTTATGCTTGAATCCCTGCTCTGCCATTTACTGGCTGTGTGACCGTGGGTAAGTCACTTTGCTTCTCTGAGCCTCCACCTCCCCATCTGGGGATGGGGACAGCAATACTCATTCCTCACAGGATGGACTCGGGCATTAGAGAGAACAGATATAAGGTTCTCAGCACAGTGCTTGTACATGTTGGCTTGTTATGATCCAAGGGGGGCTCTCTTTCTCCCGGGGAAAATCAGGGGGCTATCGGAGATCGGAGGAGAGGGACTCCATGTACAGATTCACATCAAGATTGCTTGTATGTTTATTTACAAACGGCAGACATACACACATGTAGATATCACCAGAACATTTCAGGAAATGTGGAGCAGGTAATAGTACTTCCACACCATGTGCCTCTTCTCCAGGCTCCCTCCTGATTCAGATTGAGCTCTCTAGAAAACGGCTTCTGAAACTTTCTCACTGGGAAGCCTGTGGGTGTGCTGGCTGGGCTCTCACTGCCTCTCATGTTCAAATCCACCTGTCCCATCGGGCTGTGGACAAAGGACTGTGAGCCTTGGTTCAGTCGTTCATTTCCAGGCCAAATTCTGGATACAACTCTTTGGTGGTGACACCTCGGATCATGGCTGAAAGAAAAGAAGGAAGAAGGGATGCACATCCTGAGGAGGAAAGGGGGAGAAGGGCCAAAGGCCTGACACCTACCCAGGACCCACTCCTGAACCTTCTTTCTGCTCCCATAGTTGGTCGAGATACCCTCCTGCTATTCTCTCCAGACTTCACAACCATGGGCCCTGCTAGGCCACCCCAAACTAGACTCACTGAACCCTTACCCCACTTCACAGAGGAGTCAAACAAAGCTCCCCTGGACTCCACACAGAGCAGCTAGAGCCACCTGCTGAAAATGTAAATTTATATTTACACTGTACCTGAGGACTGCTGAAAACCCTCAGTCTTTAGCCTGGCCCATGGGCCATGCCCTGGCCATTTGGTGATGCCATTCCTCCTCCTCCCTCAAAGACTCTTTCTTCCTCCCAAGGGAAGGGATGGCCTCCCAAGAGAAGGGTTTCCTGAGAGGCCTTCCCTGACGACCTTAGCTCATTCCTAACTGCCACCCTGTTTACACCTCAATATTATTCTCCATCTTTGTTTCTATCATAGCACTTAGCACATTTTATAATTCCTCTGCTTATGTTCCTTTACTCATTGACCACCTCCCTCCCCCCGCAATACCAAAACGTAAGTCACATGAGAACAGGGTCCTTTAAGGGTCTGGTTCATTGGAGTGCCCCATGCCGTGCAGTAGCACAGGGCAGGTGCTCAGCAAATATCGCCTGAACAAATGAGAGAAGATAGGCTGCCCTATCCTCTCTCTCCAGGTCCTGTGACCAGAAAGACAGGTCTCAAGCTGGGTTATATCTCACAAGAGCTTATGCCTTTAATCACTAGGCTACAGTCCCCTGGTCTTCCTTTCTCCTTGGGGCCTGATCATCCTCCTTTCTCTGTCTGTATCTCCTTCCTTCTGTTGTCTCCTTTCCTTCCCTGGGATCCATTTCCCCACTGGAACAGAGAAGCCCTTCCTGCCACAGACTCCTGGATGCTGACAGGCAATTCCACAAGACATGCTAAACTCCTGCAGTGACCTGGTGGACATCCTGGCCCTGCACCCTGTCCCAAAGAGTCACCAGTTGCTGAACGCTGGAGTGCCCACTGACCTCAGCCAGGTAATGGACCGAGGCTACCCATGCATTTCCTTACTTCCCAAGTGGCCTGTCCTAACCAGCACAGACACCTTTGTGTGTGTGTGTCTTGTGTCTTGGCCAAGCCCTCTGAATAGTCAGACTGTGTTCAAGGAGGAAAAAAATACTCCTTTAAGTCACAGAGTCACCCTCCTGTGACTTTCTGCCTCTGTGGCAAGTCAGCCATTTGAGGTAAGGGTGGTATCTCCATCAGTCTGAGTAGGGACCTAGAAGACCAGAAACCGTAGCCCTCAATCTAGCAGGTAGAGGAGCTCATGCTCAAAACTGCCTGGGGCTCTGAAGCAGGCTCTACGCTTAGGGGAAAAAACCCTAGGGACTCCTGTAAGAGCTGTACAGCTGCTTCGGGGCATTTGAGCAGTGGGCCAGCTGAGAAGGATGGGAAGGCTGGCAAGTTAGAGGGCCCAGGAGCAAAATCCAAACACCTGGGGAAATGGAGCCTCCTTCCCTCTGAGCCCTCGCTGGTCCTCTGGGGTCCTGCTGCTCACCTAGTTTGCCTAGCAGCATCTGGCCTATATCCTTGATGTCGTTATATTCATGGAGCTGGGAGATGTGGTCCTCCAGTTCATCCACACTGTAGCCTCTGGGGTAAGAGATGGAGAGAAAGAGAGAGAGGGGATCTTTAAGAAAGCTGAGGAGGATCCAAGGTTCAGAGACTAACAAGGCATCTATTTTTTTTTTTTTTTTAACAAGGCATCTATTTAACAAATGTTCACTAAGGGCCTACTAGGGGCCAAGACAGACTCTGCCCTCAGGAAGCCTACAGTAGGGCAGGGAATGTGCCTAGCCCCTCACTCCTGGCAAATGTCCCTATGCCCTTGGGGGGCAGCTCCCAGCCACACTGGCACTATGCAACCAAGGGCGCAGCTGAGGGATTCACTGATGGGCACATGAGTGGCTAGTCAGATCCCTTCATGTGTGAAATGCACAAAGCTTGCTCAGTCTGTGCCATGTGACTGTAGCAAGGGGCATGAGAAAATCCAGAAGTTGGGGAAGAGCCAGCTTCCCCCAGGCACAGAAAAGCCCACCTGTAGAGAATGGAGTCCCACGTGAGCGTGAGTGGGGAGCAGAGGCAGAGAGGGACTGTGAGAGTGATAATCTCTGTTCTGACAGCTTTCCACTTCCTAGTTCCCACTCCTCCCAGGCCTGACCACACCCTATCCAAGATGGATTGCTGAGAGGGGCTGGATCTAACAGCAGGGCACCATCCTGGTTTCACACTAAGCTAGCATGGCTAGGTTTCAGTTACTGGGCTCTGGTCAAAAGCTATCTCGAGTATGTTGAGGAGCCCAGTGAGACTTACTCAGATATTAACTGGGTGATCTCCTTGTCCAGCAGATCCCTCTTCTCCTTCAGTTTCTGAATGTCAAGGCGCAGAGAATCCTTGCTGGCCCCATCAGCCTGGCCAGACTTGGGAGATGGCCGCTGGGTGGCACACAAAGTCATCAGCCAGACGGACCCATTATCCACAATTCAGAACCTACAAGTTTGCCCTCAACAGCCACTCAACCTGCGTCTGCTTGGTGACAGACAGCCCCCACCCACTAATGAGATTACATTTCCCAGCTTCCCTTGGAATTAGATGTAGCCCTCTAAGTTCTGGCAAGGGGAAGTTAATCTGAAATCATGTGTGCAATATCTGGGAGTCATTCTTCCAGGGAGAGGGTATGCTTTTCTCTGGCCTTCCTTCCTCCTTCCTGCTGGCTAGAATGTGGATGTAATGATAGAGCTGAACAGTATCTTGGGTGATAAGGTAGAATCGAAGCTGAAAGTGTGGTGAACCTAGATAGAGGCCTGGGTCCCTGAGGACTATTTAGGTCACCATTATTGGGGGCTTTCTTTTACTCCTGTCCAAACCCAATCCTAACTAAAGGGCTCACTCTGGGCCCTAATCTGACCCTAGATAATCTACTAGGGTCATGTCTACTTCTCGGATTCTCTTCTCAAGTCTATGATGTCGCTGGGCTTATGATTATATTGGATAACAAAACCATTCTCTGGGGCTGCAGTTCATCTGCCCTCTTTGCCTCTAGAAGCCACAAGGGCCAGGGCTTGGTACACTGGCTAATCTTTAGGAAATATGTGTTGGATCTGAAGAAGAGGCCAAGGAAGACATGGTTCCTATTCTTAGGGCACGGGTTGTTAATCAGTGAGTTGACAGTGAATAAGCCCTATCTGCTAGACACTGGCAAAAGCTCCAGGAATTCAACGATGGACAAGACATCAAGCCTGGCCCCTGCCTTCTGGGAACGCATATAAAACACCCAGTAATTATGGTTTTCCTCCAGATATCTTCATTTAAAATTCTACTCACACTTCATCAGGAAGGCCCTCGCTGACCACTCCGTCTAAAATGGTCACTCCTCACTGGCTTACTATTCTTTTGTCCTGATATTTTAAAACCTCTATCACCACCTGACATATACATTTCATTGATAATATGTTGTTGGCCTCATGCCACTGGAGTATGAACTCCATGAGGGCAGGGACTGTGTTTTGTTCACTGTGCCCCAACAGTGCCTGGCACATGGTAGGCACTCAATAAAAAGGTGTCCAGTGAATGAATGAGTGACAAATAATTAATCAACTAACAACAAGTCTGAAAAATGCTTTTTAGGTGAAGTACAGTGTGCTAAGGGAGTGTCTAATTGAGCAACTGGACCGAGTCAGAAGTGGGGGTGAGTGAGGCTCCTCTGGGGGATCTCAACCTGAAAGGATGAGCGGGCATCACCTTGCTAAAAAGCTGCAAGGAAAGTATGCCAGAAGCGCACAGTGTATTCAAATGGCAAAGGCAGGAGAGCGCTCCCGCCTCTGGGGGAAGGAGAGTGGTTTTTTGTGTGGGGTGGAATGGGTGAGGGAGGAGATTATGGTGCTCTCGAGCAAGGAGGAGAGACAGAGCCCACTGGGGGCCTGGGGTACCACAGGCAAAGGCCAGGACACTGCTTCTTCTTTGAATCTTGGTGGGCAGGAGGAAAAGAAGGCAGAAGGACTGAGAAATGACCCGGAGTTCCTCAGCAGAACAAGATGTGCTGGGGGAAGACTTGAAGGGGGCTGGGGATGGAGAGGAGGGCTGGGAGCAGCACTGACTTAACACTGCGGAGGGAGAGAAAGGGGTGGGGGTCACAGGCATACTCACAGGGGACTGGAAGGCCCCGCGGCAACTTTGGGAAAGTCCTGGTTGAGTCCTGGAGAGGAATCCGAAGATAAAAGGCTGATTGAACCTAGAGTCAGTCCGCTCTGAGAGGAAAGGGTTACGTGGGGGTGTGGGAGGTAAGGAGTTGGGAAGGGGCAGATATGGTCCGAGATGAGGGCAGGGATCCTCAATGATGGGGCGCCTCTGAGACAGGGAGTGTGGGGGGCTAGATGGGGGTCTCTGGAAGTGATCTCTGGGACCAGTCTGAGGCACGGCGATGGGGAGTCAGGAAAGGGACTGGGAAGGGATGCGCTTTCGCCCTGCTATCCGCTCCTCGCCCACCTCCGGAGCCCTGGGGTCCGGGGCCCCCGCCTCGGGGGAGTATGCAGTGCGGAAGAGTCCAGGGCGGGGCGGGAGAGCGGCCCCTCAGGCCCACCAGGTCCTCGGAATCTTCTGACGGAGACGCCGACTGTTGGGTGGCTAGATGCGCGCGCACCCGGCAAAACCAGGCCCCGCCCCCCTCCCCGAGGTGGGCGGGGACAGAGGCTGCGCGCGCAGCTTTCATTGTTACTCCACCTGCTCGCCTAACCACGCCACCTGACCACGCCCATTCCCCCGTTCATCTTTCTCACCAGCCAATAGAATTGGAGCATTGAGGCCACGCCCACCAGCTGCTACCTAGAAACTCCAGGGTCCCTCCTTTTCTGGCTCAGTCGCACGCCGGCGCGGTGACTACCGGAAGTGATTCCGCAGTGGTTGCCGGGATCGCGGTGATGTGGCCCCCCCCCCCTTACCCCTCCCCGTCCCGGGATGTCGGAAGAAACCCGACAGAGCAAATTGGCTGCGGCCAAGAAAAAGGTAAAACGTGCCGGGTCGCGGCTCCCTGACCCAGCCAAAGGCCCCTCGGACGGCCGGGCCGTGGCCAGAATCTTTGCTGCCCCTGAGGCACACGGGGCTAGCCCCGAGACGCCCCTTGGCGCCCCCCACCCCAAGTCGTCTCAGCCAGTCCCGCCCCCCGGCAGCCCAGCCCCCGCCCTCGCCCGCCGCCCCCGGGTGACTTTGGGCTGGTGACTCCCCGGGCTCCCTGCTCCAGGTTTGGCCCTAGCCTTCTGCCACCCAGAAGCGGAGGACCTGGGCTCTCCAGGCCGGTCCCGGTGTCCAGGGACCTCGGTCCCAGCCCTGCTTTCCCCTCCCCCACCGCGGAGCGGCGACTCGGGCGTTGGTAGGGAGGAGGGGAATGTAGTTAAGTCACAATCCCCCTCGGAACTGTCATTAGCGCCCGGAGCCCCGGTGTTTGGTCTTACTACCCAGTCTTCCAATGTTTTCATGCCCTTTCCGGTTTCTCCGGTCGCGGCGCAAATTTCCAGCTTGAAGGGGATTGGGGACTATGGGTCCTAGGTGGGAGAGGTTTCAGGAGCCCTTACTCTAGACTGTACCCCATCCTTAAACATTGACTACACCAGTGATCATGGAACATTGTTAACACCTTGGTGACAATGGGGAGAGTGTGTTTTCTTTGGTATGGTTTCCATTTAGGTTTCTACTGTCCAGAAAGACTTTCACATATTAAATCTGAATTCTCTACTTCACATTTTAATTCCTTATGATTCTGGACCAGAATCCCCCCCCACCCCGCCTCCTCCCCTCCCCCATCAATTAGTGCTCTTTGGAGTGAGATCTGCTTATCCTCTGTGGAACTGATCTCTGGAACCTGAACTTCATAGGTGGGAATCTTCCCCAAATCATCATCTCAGCATGGAGTGTTCTGAGGGCCACAGGATAATATGGAACTGAAGCATCAATTGTGCTTGATTCATTTGAGAAAGAAAAATCCTTTTATAGTAATGTACTAGGGATGACATTTGTGTAGATTTGTAAGATTATGATAGACTTCTCTCTGAAATGGTGCTTGGATTGTCCTCTTTCTGTTAGATTTCCACATTCACTAGGTGTGTGCCTTTACTGCCTTCTGCCATCAGGATACGTTGATATAAAAGTTTGATAAATACCAATGTGCAGCTTTAACAGATTTGGAGGAAAGGACTCTAAAGTCAGATTACTCAGATGTTATTTTTCCCACTTTTTCCACCTCCACCTCTGGTTTTGCCTCTTGGCACCTGCTGATTTCATGGCATAACCCCAGAACTCGGGGTCAGAAGACTAAGTTTAAATTCCATTATTGCCTTTTCTTTTCTTAGCCATGTTATCAGTCTATTTCTGCAGTCACTGAGAATTACAACACCTTGTAGGGCTGTTCGTGGCATTAAGTCAGATGGCAAGTATGGGAGTATATTGTAAACTACAAAGTTGGACATGAATACAGGGGTTTATAGTCCTCATGAGCCCCACTGATTTTCCTTTCTGTAGTTGAGGGAGTATCAGGAGAAGAACAGCCCTGGTGTAGGAGCAAAGAAGAAAAGGAAGATTAAAAATGGCAGTAGCCCTGAGACCACCACTTCCAATGATTGTCACTCTCCTGAGGATGTGAGTACTGGCTGGCCAGGGGCAGTAGAGGGTGGTGGGTTGAGACTGTGTAGGAGATGTCAGGTACGGATTTGAATCCTACCTCTCCCTCTGCTGGGAATATGCTCCATCAATAAAGTTGGGGTAATAATGTCTTATTTAACACTGGTGACACTGGAATGAGATGGTTGATTTTTTTTTGTTTCTTTTAAGGGTTTATTTATTTGAGAGATAGCAGGGGGAGGGCCAAAGGAAGAGGGAGAGAGAATCCTCAAGCAGACTCCCTGCTGAGCACGGAGCCTGATGTCTGGCTGGATCCCATGACTCTGAGATCATGACCTGAGCCGGAAGAACTCAGGAGTCGGACACTTAACCAACTGAGCTGTCCAGATGCCCCATTGATGTTGTTTTTATATTAATCCCTTAGGGCCTGGTGTGGGATAAGCATTCAGTCAAGGGTAGTCCTATTTGACCTATTGACCTGGTGACTTTCCTCATCCTGGCTTCAGGAGGAAGCCAGGCAGTGAGAATAGCCATATGCCATCACACTGTCCCTATAGGAAGCACCAAAAGAGGCCCAGGGTGTAGCAAGGAGACCAAGCATTTGGGTTAGGTGACAGTGAATTTTGAGTCCATCTTTGCCACCAGTTTGCTGGGCGACCTCAGAAAAATCACTTCCTCCCCTGGGCCCAGTTTCCTCTTCTGTAAGATGATATTGTTGGAGCAGATCAGTGTCTTTCAGACTTCTAGCTGGAGCTCCCTTTGTTCAAGCGAACCCTCCATGGTAGTCTGGTTTTTAAAATGGAGATGCAAGCCTGTCAGATTTGTCCCCAGCATCCCGGGTCTGAGGAGAGGGTCTGATGAATGTATTAAAATAACACCTGCATTGGGCTGGTGACCGCGTTCTCGGTCTCGTTCAGGGGACTTTTCCATCTGGGTACATTGATTTCTGCCTCCGGCACGGCAGCAGGTGGCTGTTTGGGAAGGCAGCACAGGCCATGGATTTGTTGCCCTCTCTCTTCTCCAGCATTTCATCTTCCTGAACCCACTTCTTCCTTCCCTGACTCTCTCACCTCTCTCTAAGCCACTCTTCTCTCTCTCTCCCCTTGCCCTTGTTTCTCCCTTCTCGCCTCCTGTAGATTCAGGATATTCTGAAGGTGCTGGTGTCCGACCTTAACCGCTCCAATGGGGTAGCGCTCCCCCCATTGGACAAGTGGAAGGTGAGGCAGTGCCGAACCCCCTCTCTGGCTTGCTCTCTCCCAGCTGTGCATGCCCCAAGGCTTCTCTGGTTTGGGGGAATACTTTGCCTCTGGCTTATTTTATGTTGCTGTCATTAACCCTCAGCCTGTTCATGTCTGCTTTTTTTTTCACCTGCTTGGTTGATTGGGTTTTTTTCCTTCCCCCACATCTTTTATCATTTTGAAGAAGATGTGAGACACATCTTGAAGTTTAAAGGTAACTTGGGAAAGCTTCCAGAGCAGGTGTGTGGGATTTGGCTTTTTCTAGACTTGGGTATGAATACCCAGTGGCGCGTCAGATTTGGATTAAATAAAAGCAAACCTTCATACTTGCCCTTTGGGCACCTGTCCCCCAAAAGATGAATAGACTGCATAGCAGTTTGTCCTTTTTTTGAATTGGATTAGTTCATTTTGGTTGGAGAGTAGGTAGTGTAGGGTTAAGACAAAGGGAGTGTGTGTTATAGTTACAAGGACTGAGGTTATTTTTTCAGAGGAATTAACTGGAAAGCATGTGAAGTTAACCAAACATGAGTGACCAGGACATCCCGCCCTGCCCCTATTCTCAAAAATCAGTTCAACACTGGGCTGTGTATTCAATGGGTCCTTGCTAGGAGAGGCAGTTGGCTAGGTGCTCAAGAAAAAGAGGTAAACCAGGTTGAATGCATACTTAGGGAGGCAGAGACCCTGCTGCAAGAAGCAAGGTAAGATGTGGCAACATTCCAGGTGCTTAACTGAGGGTAAGGTTGGTTCTAAAAGAACTTAAGACTGATGGGAAGATTAGAGGCGGGTAGCATTCATCCATATGGAGAGTGGGGGAAGGGGAATCCCAGGCAGCCGGAGGGTGGAATGCAGGTAACAGTCTGCATTATGAGCTCACAGAGTATCTCCCAGAAAGGCAGGGAGCCTGGGTGGGTTCTCTGGACATGACATTGGTACTTCCTCCTGGGACACTGGCCAGGCCAGGGGCGTAGGGCTGAAACGCAGCCACGTCCAGTAAGAGATGGGCATGGAGAGAGAGCAGGGGACAGAGCCCTGGGTGCTGGTGTTAGAGGCTTTCACTCCCAGGGACTGCTCACGCCTGGGTAGTCGGGTCTGTCTAGGTGCTGTGACTCATCGTGTGGGCTCAGAGGAGCTGCTGAGAGGCACAGGGAGGAGGGGAGCCTAGGCCTAGGGCAGTCCTGAAGCTCGTATTTGCACTGAGTTCTAGGATTCTGTGCCCGCTGCCCGCATCCCTCTATTGTCCTGGAAAGGAAAACCCAGATTACTCTTGTGGGGTTTTTTTTTAATTTATTTATTCATGATAGAGAGAGAGAGAGAGGCAGAGACATAGGCAGAGGGAGAAGCAGGCTCCATGCAGGGAGCCCGATGTGGGACTCGATCCGGGACTCCAGGTTCATGCCCTGGGTGGAAGGTGGCACTAAACTGCTGAGCCACCCAGGGATCCCAACTCTTGTGGTTTTTAGATCCAATCTTCTATCAGTGATTGTTTCCCACTTAAGTTTTCTGTCCCGGCAATGCTGGCTTGTGGTTGCAGGATCCTGGACACAGAGCTGATAGCATTTCCAGAAGTGGGGAATCATGAAAAAAATAATAAAATATTAACAGTACATTTGGAGGATTGGCGAGTGATTTTTTTAAATACCCCCATACTTTTGCTGTAAGACCTAAAATTGTGAAATAACTTGGTTGATCACAAAATTCGTTATATAGATATATATATTTAAATCCTCAGGTAATCACTTTTTTCTTTTCTGAACGTCATTGTATCTAGTGCTAGGGATCCAGGGGGATCCCAAGATGCCAGGAGGCACCCAGAGCTTGCAGGGCCCAGGGCTGGAAGTGCCCTACCTCCCCCAAAGTCTCATGCCTCAGCCAGCTGCTGAGCCTCTGCTCTTATCTAGGATTCTGTTGAACAGGTTGTCAAGACAACGCCAGGTTCCAGGGTCAAAGGTCACAGCATGGACAGTAAACATGCAAATTGCTCAGATTCATCCTCAGCTCCCTGGGCTCTGCCGCACTTACTCTGAGGAGGGCAGCAGATGCATCCAGAAAGCAGCCAGCCCTGGGCTGAGAGAGAGACAGACAGACAGACACACGTGTGGCCTCTTCCTCCCGCTCCTGGCCTCGTGCTCCCTAGTGCTCCCCTCTTCAAACTTGAGCTTATCAGCCATCTTCCCCATCTCTCCACTTATCTTTACTCATCATCAGACATTAGATCTGTAGAGCCAGGTGCTTGGACTGAGTGTGTCAGACCTGAGCCTGGATGGAGGCTGGGTAGGGCCCTCGTCAAGCAAGTGGGTTCAGGTGGGGAAGAGGGAGCAGTTTCTCTGTGGCTCCTTGTGTCCCGTTCCAGGATCGTTCTCCAGGATACCAAGAGTCAGAGGGCAGGCATCTTACCTCTGGTTTCTCAGTTTGGTTCCTGGTTGGTAGGTGTTTTGGAGCTAGGAGGTTGGGGTGGGTGTAGTAGCCATGTTTTTCTTTTCACCTGCAGGAGTAGGGTGAGGCTTCTAGTTGGGTAACTTCCTTCCCAGGAAAGGCCTGAATTGAACAAATACAGCCAGGAGTAGGAAGGAGGAGGGGGGAAGGGAAAAGAGAGCAGAGAGGAAGGAGGCAAAGAGTGGAACTGACCACATCTCCTTCAGTACCACCACCCTCTGCCTGGCAGGGGCCCAGGGGGGTGTCACCCTGGCATTCCAGAAGAACAGGGCCTGCCTTCTCCCTGACTGGGCACCCTGTCTTCCACCTGCTGTGGCTGCCACAGGTCAGAGCATGGTACTGTCTCTTGCTGAGCTCTACGGAGAACAAGGCCCTCATGTGTTCATGAGGGAGGTCTTGCAGACCTTGCTTTGAGCTTTGGCCATCCAGAAGGCTGCAGGCGGCCCTCGGCTTGGGTGAGTCATAGCCGCACTCCAGAGTGGCTCCCAGCATGTGTGACTGTCACTCTGACCACAGCAATGCCTGTCCTGCCTGCTCTGCATCCCTGCGTCCATGGCAGCAAGGCACCTTCTTACCTGCATGGCCCCTAACCCCCTGCCTGCTCTGTTCTGTGACAGGCGCCCAAAGACCGCGCCGCTCCTGCTGCACCAACTGTTGATGACACCGTGTCACCTGGCGGTGTCCCTTCCCCCTGTGCTAGTCTCCCTCGTGTCACCAGCATGACATCAAATCAGGTTTGTGCCTCCTCCCCCTTTGCCGCCCCCACTGTATGTTCACCCCCTCCTCTTCCTCAGAGGACTGTACCTGCTTTGGGTCCTCTTCCCCATTCTTCAGGTAGCTTGGTTCCTAGAGCAGAGTGCCCTTCTGGAGGACTGAGGTGGGGGAAGCCAAGACCAGGTCTTTCCCTGAAGTTTGGGAAGTTGGCAGGTTATCAGAATGAGCTTGCCTCCCCCTGCCCCTGGGTGGTCTTACCAGCAATTGAGTGACCACCTCATGTGTTTCTTCCTGAACAGAACCATGATGCAGAAAATGGTCCTATCCTCATAGATGAAAGCAAGTGAGTATCTCCTATGAGGGCAGTGGTCCCTGGGCCCAGGCGTTGGGGCAGGCCTCTGCCTGAGACCCCCTCTTTCCCACTGGGCCTCCTGAACCCCTGACTTTCATGTTCATCCCCAGATGTCTGTCCTCTACCGAGAGCCTGCGACAGCTTTCTCAGCAGCTCAATGGTCTTGTGTCCGAGGTACCCCAGAACTTGAAACCCAACGTGGGGGGGAAATGGGGAGGGAGAATATGACAGAAAGAAATTGAGGCAGAGATTTCCCAAGAGGGAGGGAAGAGCTCAGGAGCAGCCAGCTCACTGGGTAATGTTTGCCTGACTCCTCTCCCCTTTGAAGTCTTCCCTTTGAAGCTCCCCCAGGTAAAGGGGTCCGACCTTGAGGCTGCTTACATCATTTGACCTCTCTGCAGAAACTGCATAATGAGAGCTGCCCAGGAGGGGATGGATGAGGGGGCGCTAAGAACCAGGAGGAGTGGCACAAAGGAGGGGTTAGTTAGGCAGAAAAGTTTGCAGCTGATGGGCAGGATGAGGAGTCAGAGGGCTTAGGTACTGGGGCGGGCAGAGCGCGCCTCCATGTGAGCCCTTTCGTGTTTCCTAGTCTTCATCCTACATCAATGGGGAGGGCCTGGCATCTTCTGCTAACATAAAGGATCTAGAGGTAAGTGGCACTAGACCATGGTCCTGAGACCCTGCAGGCCAGCCCCCACCTCCTCCCACAGCGGGGGCTGGGTGCCCCGCTGCCAGCCCAGACAGCCCCCAACCCTAATGACTGCTCTCTCTACCTCTCCCCAACCCTCGTCCAACTCCTCCTCCTCCTCCTCCTCTGCATGCGCCTCAGAGCCGGTACCAAGAGCTATCACTAGCCCTGGACTCCAGCAATCTAACAAACAAACAACTCAGTAGCAAGATAGAGGAATTGGTAAGAGTCCAGTGGGGTCCCCTGATTCCACACTGCCAATCTGGGGCTCCAGTTTTTCCCTGGGGCTCTGAAGAAAGGGGCTGGGGGACCCTGGTGCTAAGGGAGAATGGGGTGTCGGGGGGTTTGAGTCTCAGGTGGAGGGACCCCAGAGCATGCGGCATGGCTCTCTGTGGCTGCCCTCTTTGCCTCCTTCTGTTCTCCAGACACCCCTGCTTGAGTCCTCTCCAAACTTGCCCCAGGGCTGTAGCCTCTGGAGGAAGCACTGGCTTGGCTGGTGTGCTCCTGCCCTTACCCAACCCCTAATTTGCTCCATCTTTGAACTTGGATGAGTCACCTTTCCTCTCTGGGCTTCAGTCTCCTGAGGAGGTAGAATTAGAGGTGTCCAAGGTCCCCTTTTAGCTCAGAGAATCTGGTCCTTCTCATTCCTATATCCCTGCTATTAAGAACAGAACCTGGCCTGTGGGTACTTAGGCCCAGGGTGTTCAGTAAATACTTGTTGAATGAAAGCATCCTTCCGAATCACAAGCTACCAGAAGGGTAGTCTCTTGCTTCTCAACTCCTGTTTCTGGAGGTTTATCCCTGTCCTTTCACAAGGACTCTCATCTGTGCAGCTGTGAGCAAAACTACCCAAGACCCAAAGTCTTTTCTTGGGAGCTTGAGGAGACTCCATCAGTTCATGTCCACATGAAGTTTCCCCTTTGAAACCCATTCCTGGCCCCTGCCCATCCCTCAGTCTTGGTGTGCAGAGGGCAGTGAAAGGGAATAGACCGAGTTACCTCTCTTTGGCTCTCCCCACAGAAACAACAGAACCAGGAAACTCTGGATCAACTGGAAAAAGTAACACGATATCTTTTGTCTGCTGATTATGTGGCAGAGGGGTTTGGGGAGGATTCAGATGTAGAGGCCCATTCTCGTCTTGGTCTGCTCCCAGCCTGGAGGAATAAAAGGCCCCCTTGTGTCCCCCACCCCTTCCCTACCCCTGCCCTCCTCCCACTACCTGCCACCACCCCCCCCCCCAGTCTGGCCACATTGTTGGGCCTATCCTGCTCCACTGATGGCATATTTTGGGATCACGTCCTTTGCTGTTTCATCTCTGCCCCCTCCCAGTCAGGGATGTTGTGTCCTCCTTCCTGCAGGAGAAGAAGGAGTTTGAACAGAAGCTTGCAAAGGAGCAGGGGTCTCTAAGGGAGCAGCTGCAGGTGTGTGGAGCTGGGATCTCCCTCCTCCCCCAGGAAATGCTTCCTTCCCCTCTCTTCAGCGCCCCTTTACCTTCTTTCCCAAAGGTTCACATTCAGACCATAGGGATTCTGGTGTCTGAGAAGACCGAATTACAGACAGCCCTGGTCCACACACAGCAGGCAGCCAGGCAGAAAGCAGGTGGGAGTCTAGACATCCTCCCACCCCATAGCCTGGCACATTGGCAGGCCTTTGGTGGGATTCCTTCCTGGGCTCCTCTTTGAACTCTGTCATTCCAGGAGAGTCTGAAGATCTTGCTAGTCGCCTGCAGTCTTCCCGCCAGCGTGTCAGTGAGCTGGAGCGCACATTGTCTGCTGTCTCCACACAGCAGAAGCAGGTGGACAGGGTGAGCCCAGCATCTGACCCACCTGGCTGGAGGTGCAGCTTCCCTGACAGGGGAAGGGGAAAGGTCCCTTCCACACAGTGGAGTGTTTCCTGCCCACAAGGCAGCACGGGCTGTTTCTTGCTGCTTTAAGGTTTTGAGGTGGTTAGAAGCAACCAGGGCTGAGCTGACTGTCTTGGGGGACTTAGCAGTGGTGGGGGCTGCTTTCTGGACTGAGCACTGAATGTAGAGTCCAGACCCTGAGAGACAGCCCTGCCCCCCTCAATGGCTGTGGGCCTTGGCTGAGTACAGAACAGTCTTTTTCGTATGTTACCATTTGTATAGGAAGGGAAGTATGTGTGTAATATAAGGTGTGTGAAAGGAATTATAAAAACCCAGGGAGAGGAACAGATCACCTCTGTACAGTCTGAGTGGTGGGCTGTATGAACAGATCATTCAAAAGGACAGAGGATCACAATGCAAATTTAATTCCACTCCTTATCCCTGCTTCCCCAACCCAGGGAGAAAATGTAGGCAAAGAATCAGACGGACTGGATGTTTAATTCTAGCTTTCTGATGGGGATTTTAGGCAAACGACTGAATCTGTGATATTCTGTGTTGTTCACCTGTAAAAACAGACACAATCGTGCCTACCCAATGTGGTGGTCGCAAGGCTTGAATGTGATTGTTAGCATGGCAGCTGCTGACATGCTCTGTGAAGGGTCAGGAGTGTTCTGACGCTACTAGTAGTTGATAGCAGTGCCACTGTCTGGGTCTCTGCTGGCCAGCTCTGAATCTCTCCCACCCTTACCGAGTTCTAGTCCACGGCACATGACAACTTGGGCTTGGACATGGCTTTGAACAAAGTGTCAAGTGTGGCTAGGGTGGGTGAAGAAGTGTGGCTGCATCTTCTGCTGCCCAGCCCATGCCTGACCCTGCCTTTCTGTGTCTGCAGCACAACAAGGACTTAACCAAAGAGCGAGACACCCTCAAGCTGGAGTTATATAAGAACAAGTAGGACGGCAGGGCTGGCAAGTGGGAGGGCTACAGGGGAATGGGGGCACCGCATACGGCTTAGAACATGCACAGAGCCGGACTCCAGGCCCAGCTGTGCCACCAGCACAGGCTGTGGCCTTGGGCCACACGGGTCTTCTCTCTGGCCTGCTTGTTGGGCTTCATGTTCCCCGGGGGCCCCTTCCGACTGTTCTGTGGCCCCGTGGCAAGTGTGGTGGGTTGATCACCAGAGTACTCCTTTCTGTTCTGTACTCATACCTACCTTTGCTCCCTCTGGCCATAGCAAAAACAATGAGGACCTGAAGCAGCAGAACTCAGAACTGGAGGAGAAGCTTCAGGTGATGGTGAGAGAGAAGGCAGCCATGCAGCTCGGGATGGAGGAGCTGCAAAAGAAGCTGGAGATGTCGGAGCTCCTGCTGCAGCAGGTGAGGCCAAAGCCCCAGGGAGTCTGGGTCCCATCTGTCTGGGGCCATGGTCTCCCGGGATTGTCATGGCCAGCCTCTAGCCAGAAGCTGGAAGATTTGGGTCCTTGTTTTGGCCCTGCTATAGAATCCTGCTGCAGATGTTGATCAAAATCTACAAATCGGGGCCCTGTGCAGATCTGTGGACTCAGAATCTCAGGGATGGGGCTTTTAAAATTTTTGTTTTTTAAAGCATCCTGGTTGCAAACCATTGTTCTATAGTTGACAGTCACAAGGCTAGCCCATGAGTCCCCATCTGCTTCCTCTTGGAGGTGGGGCCACCAGGTCATCAGGGTGCCTGGGCCAAAGAGCTCCCCTCCTCAGTGTTTATTCACACAGCGATAATCTGCCTTCAGGTCACTTCCTTCAGTGGGGTTCTTCCCTCCCAATCAACACAGGAAAAATTTCATCTCTTTCCTGAGACAGACCTTTAGATACTCGGAGGGGGTGTGTTTGTAGATTCCTTGGCCCTCCCTCAGGTTTTCCCAAGCTCCACAGCCCCAACTGTTTCTCACATGGTCTGTCACCCTCCTGACGGCTTTTTTCCTGCATGGGACCAATTGGTTAAGGCTCCTCTTATGGTCAGTCCCCCCAGAGTGAAACATGAGTCTCCAAATTTGGTCTGTCCTGGGCAGCAGATAGGGCTCTCTACCCATCTCCCTCATCATCTCCCCATCCATTCAGCAGGTGTTGACTGAACATGGCCTCCGCCCGTTCCTAGGCTGGGTCGTCTAACAAATGGCCTGGTAGAGAGAGGAAGTGAGGGCTTGAGGTTGCTCTGAAGTTAATGGACACCCGCACTCTGGGACCTGACCACCCCATTTCTGGGACCGGGGCCAGTTTGTAGCCACCCTCACTATAGCCAGTAAAGAACCTGGAAGAATACACACCAGGTTGGCGGGACTGGGAGCTAGAAGAGCACTTACAATGAGTATTTAGTTAACAGAAAGCCTGTGGACCCAATACTAACGTAACGTAAAGATAGAGATCTGTATCAATGCCAAATTGTACGTTATCCCAGCTCAGATCCTTTGGGGTGGGGTGCATTACTGCAACAACCTGGGCTCCCCACATCTAACCTTCTCCTTTTCCATTCTCCAGTTTTCTAGTCAATCCAAAAGCCCTGACAGCAGCCAGGAGTTACACCAGGCCCTGGAAGAGCGGACACAGCTGGAGGCCCACGTTGGGGAGGTGAGGCCTTGCAGAGCAACACCCTTGCACGTTGGGGTGTGGAAGGATGGCCCTAGGTGCTTAGAAGCTGGTTAGGCCCAGCAGCAGCCCCTGCTAACATCTGTGCCCCTTTTTGTAGCTGAGAGATTTACTAAAGCAACTGCAGCTGGAGAGAGACCAGTATGCAGAGACTCTGAAGGAGGAGAATGCCATTTGGCAGCAGAAGATGCAGCAGATGTCTGAACAGGTGAGATGTGACCTTCAGCGCCCCCACCTTAGGCTGCTTGATCTTTCTGGGCATCAGTAAAAGGGGAATCCTATCACTTGGTGTGCAGCCAGAGGTGGCTGTGCAATTTTTATAGGTGGGAATAGAGAGGGCAGTGGTCTTACTTCCCCCCACCCATGTACCCATCCCCCCTGTGCTTTGGGCAGATGCACAGATTGAGGGAAGAGAAGGAGCACAGCATGAGTCAGGTGCAGGAGTTGGAGGCCAACTTGGCTGAACTGAAGAACCAGATAGGTAAGCTGAGGCAGGAGGATCTGGGAGCAGGATTGGTGCCAGAGGGCTGGTGAGGATGCCTTCAAATGCCCTAAGGATGTGGGTGGATGGAAGGGACTGTGGCCCATGGAAAGAGGTCCGTACTAGGAGTTGGCCAGGTTGGGCAGTGTGCCCGCTGGCAACCACTCCGAATTGTCCTGGGCATAAAAATATTAAAAACTCTTTTTGAAAGTGTCTTGAAAGAGTGCATATCCCCTGAGGTTGAGGGATTGTGAGCCAGGAAGCCAAGGTTTGGGGCGAGGAGGCCCAGTTAGGAGCTGTGGATCAAGAAGAGAGCTTTTTTGAAGGCACAGAGGTGAGAGGCCCTTAGCGTGTGTCCCCCTCCCCCTGCTCCCCACAGTGGTGCCCCCAGCCCAGGAGCCCCCAGCCAGGCCCTTGGAGGAGGAGCAGCAGCGGCTGCACGCCGAGACTGAACAACTACAGAAGGAGCTGGAGAGCCTGGCCGAGCAGGTGCAGGCCCAGGTGAAAGACAACGAAGGTTTGAGTCGCCTGAACCGGGAGCAGGAGCAGCGGCTGCTGGAGCTGGAGCGGGCAGCCGAGTGCTGGGGGGAGCATGCAGAGGAACGCAAGCAGATTCTGGAGAGCATGCAGAGTGATCGCACCACCATCAGCCGTGCGCTCTCCCAGAACCGCGAGCTCAAGGAGCAGCTGGTTGAGCTGCAGAACGGCTTCGTCAAGCTGGTGTGTAGCCCTTCTCCTGGCCAAGTCTTTTGGTGCTGGGCAAGACAGTTAACCCCTCTGGGCCTTTGTCTCCCCACGTGTAAAATGGGGGAAGGGTGTATGCACCCCATGTGAAAATGGTGCCCTTGAAGGCACCCTGTGAGCCGGAGAGCCCTGCTGAGATGAGTGGGGCAGAGGTGGTGAGGACACCTGCCTCCACTCTTCCCTGCACTGTGGGAGGTAGACTCCATGTTGTGGGGTGGCCACTGACTCCTCTTCTCTCTCCAGTCCAACGAGAACATGGAGATTACTACCGCACTGCAGTCGGAGCAGCATGTCAAGAAGGAGCTGGCTAAGAAGCTGGGCCAGCTGCAAGAGAAGCTGGGAGAGCTAAAGGAAATGGTAACTTACCCCCTACACCAGCTGAGGAAGCCTGGAGGACAAACCTACCTGCTCGGAGGGTGGGAGGTTGCCCAGGATGGTGCAGCTCCAGCCTGTGGGGGACACCTGACTCCAGAGTCCTTCCAAGCCTGCCTGTGGTGCAGGCCCCTTGTCACTCCCAGCTGTCTGACTCTACAGAGTGGGTATCCCTGGGCTGAAGGTCCTCGTCCTGGCTAGAGAGCTCAGGCCCCTAACAAGAGGTCAAGAGATGGTGCACCTCGGGTGGCTTCTCAGATTCAGCCCCGGATGCTACCCCCCAGCTCCACCAGTCACTAGTCACTTCTCATCTCTCAGCCTCAGGTGTCCTCAGAGAGATTAGCATTTTGCTCACAGAGGTGTCGAGGATTATAATTTTTTTAAGATTTTACTTATTCATGAGAGACACACAGAGAGAGAGAGGCAGAGACACAGGCAGAGGGAGAAGCAGGCTCCATGCAGGAAGTTCGATGTGGGACTCGATCCTGAGTCTCCAGGATCAGGCCCCGGGCTGAAGGGGCCGCTAAACCACTGAGCCACCTGGGCTGCCCAGGTGTCGAGAATTAAATGAGAAGCATGCCTGTAGTGTGAGGCATTCAGGGCGCACTCAGATGTCCATGGGTGCACTTTGCTTTTTGACTAAAGTGAAAATAGAAGGGGGTCATGAGGCATGAGGCAGGGTAAGGGAAGTGTAGGTCCCTGGATATGGGGGCAGTCACTGAAGTCCTAGAGCGAAGAAGCCAGGGGCCTGGGCGGGCCGGCCGCAGAGCCTACCCCTTTCCTCTCAGCATGGGTGCCAGCCTTAGTCCTTGGGTCTTCCCACAGGTGGAGCTGAAGAGCCAGGAGGCTCAGAATCTCCAGCAGCAGCGGGACCAGTACATGAGCCACCTGCAGCAGTATATGGCCGCCTACCAGCAGGTGGCTTCCGACAAGGAGCTGCTGCACAAGCAGGTGCTGCTGCAGACTCAGCTCATGGACCGGCTGCAGCATGAGGAAGTTCAGGGCAAGGTGGCGGCCGAGAAAGCCCTCCAAGAGTTACAGGAGACCCAGGTGAAGGGAGTTCGAGTACTGGGCCCCGAGGGGAGGGCCTGCTACCCGCGTCCCTTCTCACTCTTTCCTGGCCCCTTAGGGACGCCTGGAATCTGCCACCCAGCAGAACCAGCAGCTCCAGGCCCAGCTGAGCCTCATGGCTATGCCTGGGGAAGGTGAGTAGGAGAGTGTCCAGGGGGAAGAGGACAGAGCCCGAGGAGGAGGGGTGACTTTGAGCAGCACAGAATCAAGTGTGACGGGACCTGTAGGACAGTGAATTCTTCTCTGGGGATGCACTGGCCCCAAGCTTTGTTCCCTGGCCCGCTTTACCTCCCCTGTTGGGTTGTCTGAGGACCCTCCATCTGCCCTGACAGGAGATGGATTGGACAGTGAGGAGAAGGAAGAGGAGGCTGCCCAGCCAAAGCTGAGCATGCCAGAGAACCTGGAGAGCCGAGAGGCCGTGGTGAGCAGACCCCCGCTGCCCCTTCCTTGTCCCACCTTCCCGCTTCCCTCTGTGGTAACCCCCTCCCAGGGGCACCCTCCTTTCTTCTTGGTTCCCTCCCTCAACCTCTCTCAACCCTCAAACCCATGGGACCCAGCGGTCAGCCTCAGCACCATCCTTGAAGCGCAGGTGTGCCCACCAAGGCCGGGAGAGGAGGAGCTTCTCTCTGCCTCCCTGCCACCTGGTCACCCTGAGTATCCACCACAAGAGCACACACATGTCTCACCTGCAGGTGGCATTTTTTAACTCGGCCTTAGCCAGTGCTGAGGAGGAGCAGGCACGGCTGCGCGGGCAGCTGAAGAAGCAGAAGCTGCGCTGCCAGCGTCTGGCTCACCTGGTGGCCCCAGGCCAGCAGGTGCAGGAGGAGGCCGCAGCCCCCAGTGGTGACAGTGTGCCTGGGGAGACCCACCAGGCCCTCCAGGTGGCCATGGACAAGCTGCAGGTGAGCCAATCGCTGGCCAGCCCTGGAAGGGTGGGGCCACCAGGGCGGGCTGACCCTGCTGCTCTGGCCACAGGGCCGCTTCCTGGAGCTCATGCAGGAGAAAGTGGAGCTGAAGGAGCGGGTGGAGGAGCTGGAGCATTGCTGCATCCAGCTTTCTGGAGAGACAGACACTATTGGTGAGTGGGAGGGCCAGCACCCGGGGGTGGGGGGAGCCCTGTGATGGGTCCAAGAGCCTGAGCGGCAGCCCGTGTACCCACAGGAGAATACATCGCCCTGTACCAGAATCAGAGGGCAGTGCTGAAGGAACGGCACCGGGAGAAGGAGGAGTACATTAGCCGTCTGGCTCAAGACAAAGAAAACATGAAGGTAGGGGCCCTGAGCGTCGCTGGGAGTGGTACAGGGCAGGGGTGGAACTCGGGGGTGCTCAGCACCTCTCCTTCCAGATGAAGCTGCTGGAGCTACAGAAACTGGTGCTATGCCTAGTGAGCGAGCGCAATGAACGGCAGGGCAAGCTCCTGGCAACTGCCCAGGACCCCGCAGCAGAGCCTGCTACAGCACCCCCAGCCCAAGAGCTTGGTGCTGCCAATGGCCAGGGTGGTGAGTAGAGCCCTCAGGGTGGGTGGGGCGGGGAGAGCTCGCACAGCACTCAGAACCCTGTTTCTCTCTCTCTCCCTGACCCACAAAGATCTTCGAGAGGTGAGCCTGGCTGACAATGATAATGTGGCACCTCCTCAGGGAGAGGCCCTACCAGGCCACAGTGCCCCTGAGAACCCCACTGCACAGCAGATCATGCAGCTTCTGCAGGAGATGCAGAATCCCCAGCCATACCCAGGTTTAAGCAAGAATCCCTGCGTCCCCTTCTTCTACCGGGCTGATGACAATGACGAGGTGAAGATCCTGGTGATCTAAGAGCCTGACACCAGCAAGCAAAACCTGGAGAAGTGGGGCCGGGGGCTCTGCTCCCACCCTGTCCCTGCCACCCTATCATTCCTTCCCAATTACTCTTTTATCCCTGAACTAGCAAGATAAGACCCCTGAGAGGGGTGTGAAAAGCCTCCTAATGGGGGGAAACAAACAGGTGCAGACCTCTTGCCACCTTGGCAAGGGCTGTGTCTTTTTCTGGACTACTCATCGTTCCAGAAAAACAAAGAGCCAGAGGCTCAATAAAAACATAATTTAGAGGGCTCCCTTTCTTGGGGGGCAGGGGCTCCCTGGTGGCCTCCTCACCCCCACCAAGCAGTCCTTCAGAGGGGCTCAGGCATCCTCTATTCAGAGGCACTTTGGGGAACAAGTGCTCCCCCTGTCCAGCTCAATGACTGGGCAGCACTCTCCCAGGCCTTAGGACAGTTGGGGCTAACCCAGGCCAGGCAAAGGCATAAGCTGGTGGGGGGAGGGGGCTCCCTCCCCAGTGTATATAATGTACCTGTGTAACATTTTGTATATTCTGGGGATAGGGCAGCCCCCTGTATCATAGCAGAGGTTGGAACTGGCAAATGGGGAGGAAGTTCTATTAAATATTTGGGGATGAGGAAACTTATTTATTGATAGCATAGGACAGAGGAAGGAGGCGGGGACGGGGTTCCGCCCAGGTGACTCACAACTTCTGTTTGCTTTTTATTTCGGAATAAATGGATTTAGCCATACTGTTTAGCCTTGTGTGTGCCTGTTTCCAGTCACTGGCCCCTAGGTCCTGGGGTCTGCACTGTGGGCATTGAACAGGGAGCAGATCCTGCCAGCAGAGGGCAGACTTCTGGATTGTGCAAAGCCCCAGTGTCTCTGAGCCTGCCTAGCAAACAGAGCTGTTGGAGATGGTCCAGGCCTGTCACCCCGATGCTGCTTGGGGAAGCCTGGGGGATCCCAGGGCCCCTGCCATGCATGGGACTCTAAGGAGCACTCCTGTCTTAATGGTCCAGAGGCTCAGCCTGATCTAATCCTGGGTTGGGGAAAGCAGGGTCCTCGCACCAAGAGTGCTGCCTTCCAGTTCAGGCACTTTGCCCTCTCATCACCCTGGCCCTCTGGTGGCCTGTTGTCCTTCCCCTGCACAGTGCATGCCAGGGGCCCCCAATCCTCCCTCTGGCCTGAGTTGGTGCCCCTGCCCCCTAGTGGGCAGAGCAGGCTTCCCAGAAAGATAACCCATGAACCCGTAGGTGCTTTCCCAGTAGGTCCTGGAAAGGACAGGACCTCTCTTCACCACTCATCCCAACACCCTAGCAATGGTGGGGCCCTTCCCCACCGGTTCATCCCAAGGTTGAAGCCTTCCCCTTCCCCTGAACTCCACAAAAACACAAGCCAGCAGAGGACAGTCTCCCATCGTCCAGAAATGGGTTTTATTCTCAGCCAAGAGACAGCAAGACTGGTGGCAGAGGACCACACAGCTGCCAGTACAGCGCCCCCCTGTGCTTGAGCGGGGGAGGGACGGAAGAGTGGCCATCCACAGGCCGGGCATGACAGGGAGGCTCATTGGAGGTGGCACACTTTGGAGAGGGGGATGTCAGGGCGACAGTGTTCCCCTGTAGTTGGACCACAAGACTCCTCAAGGACAGCGTGGTGATTGGTTCCCAACACTAGAGGCGAGGCTGTGGCAGCCATATATGTATGTGTGTGTGTGTGTGTGTATTTATAGTTATTTATAGAATGGGATAGGAGCAATACCACAGAGGGGCACAAGTTTTCACCAATATCACGCCTGGATGTGTCAGCTCACCACTACAACAGACTAAGTCACAGATGAAGGGGGAGGCTTTGGGGCTGGGGAGCCACTGTCAAGTCACAGAACAGCCGTCCAGGCAGGCTTGGAAAGGGAGGTCTCCGAGGAATAGAGGGATCTGGTTAGAGGTCGAAGGGGGGCCTGGGGCTCTCAGGACGGGACGGACTTGCCTGACCCGATCGGCTGGCAGTTGGAGAGAAAGCAAAAAGAGAACGGAGAGAAGGAGGAAGAGAACTGGTAAGGCAAGGGCAGCCAAGCCCGGTGGGGTAAGAGGGGAGGGCAGGGGGCGAAAACAAAGCTGAGGGTGTGGGCAAGGGTTCTGGAATGGAGGAGAGAGAAAGGGAAGGTAGGAGGAACTGGAGGTGGGTGGGGGCCACAGCTTCCCAGGGGTCTTGGATGGAGGCCGGGGCGGCCCTCCCTCTGCCACGCACGCCGGTCTCTCATACACCACCAGGCAGTGCACCCACAGCTCCAGGCACATGCTCGGCCCCTCTGCCTTCCCTCTTTTCTGGCCCCCATGTCTTCCAGTGTACTGGCCCAGGACCACCCCTAGTCTCAGAATGTGGGTCCTGATGCCCCATGCCACAGCCACCAGTCCTCGTGGAGAGAGACAGGAGAAAGAACAGAGTTTGAACCAGGAGGGCAAAGCTAAAAGGATGGCTGGAGGGGGCACCTGGAGGCCCCTCTGGGTGGGCAGAAAGCCCGGAGTCCTCAGAAGGGACCCTGGGGAGGCAGGGAGGTCAGGAAAGCCGGATGCCAGCGGCCACAGACTTATAAGTCTAAGAGGGGAGCCTCAGCTGGCCGGGGGACCACAGGTCGCGTAGGTGAGGCTGGGCCCTTCCTGCTGGGGAAAAGCAGAAGAGCGAGAGTCAGCGGCAGGGACAGAGTGGCAGGTGGGTTGCTGGGCACATGTGCGGCCCAACCAGGGTGGGACTCAGAAAAGCTGACTTGCCTAGATCGGTGGACACTGTCGTCCCCTTGGCTGAAAAGTGTAGGTCACCCCAGGAGCACCAGGCCTAGGCCCGGGAGCCTGAGGGTTGGCTTACGGTGCTTCATCTGGGACAGAGGACACTGTTGTTTGTAGTGCCGTCACAAGCATGACCATACCAAGGAGGGAGAGGAACAGGCTGCATGATCCTACCTCACCCCTACACTGTGGACAGGGCCCTCCAGCTTTCAGAAATCAGCAAACCAGAGCCTTTGCCCCAAATTGCTGCTCAACTGCTGGCACCATAGAGGAGGTGGGGCTGTGACCTCCTCTGCCCTATCATGGCCTCGGTTCCCAGAGCTCCTGAGCTGGGAGCTGGCTGCCCTGCCCCGACAGCTTGGCTCAGGTTGGACAATGAGTGTGGCACCCCCAGGACAAAGTTCCAAGCCTGGCTGGCTGAGTTCAGCCCCACGCACAACCCCCTCCAAGGTTCCTGCCTCTACACCATAAACCATGAGCCCTCTGTCCTCTCTGATGGCTCCAGAGAGCACCTGTGTCTGCCAGCTCGGGCGCGGAGCCTGTCCCAAGAGCTCCCCAGGCTCAGTCTTGAGCAGTGGCACTGAGTCCCGAGGCTCGCTGAGAGGGAGGTGAGAGAGCCAGCTGGCAGCGAGGACAGAAAGAGGAAAGAATAAGTCTGGAGCTGCAGAAGGGAGAGAGAGGGGAGCCTGGCTCTGAGGTCCCAGGTGTGCCCCCCAGTGTGGAGCTGGTGCAGCGGCGGGGGTGGGGGCAGACACACTGTTCATGCAGCAGGCAGAGAGGCATGTATGCACCTACCGTGGCTGACGCTCCTCAGGGGTCACTGATAGTGATTCTGAAAGACAGCACGAAATCAACATGGCAGTTCACACGCACAGACAGGGCAGGCCTGGGGGGTGGGGGTCACACACACGCACACGCCCGGGCGTGCACACACATGCTGGGAGGCCCCACGGCCCCGCATGCACACGCTGACACACATGCCCACAGACAACACGCATACACCTCCCCCACCTCCCACTGCCCAGCACCCTCACTGGCTGGCACGTGCAGCACGGATCCGGGGCATGCAGCCACTCGGCACATTGAAGCACACGCGTGGGCTGAGTCACGACACAGAAGCTCGCCCATACACAGGAGGCATTTGCACCAGCTCCCTGCACATTCGTGCCTGGAGTCCTCAGAGGGCCACCTGCAATGCTCCATAAGGGACAGGACTTGCTTTCTCAGGGTCCAGCTGTCATTTCTCTGCCCGAGAACCTTCCATGGCTCCCTAGTCCCCATAGCATTGAGTCCCAAGAATTTTTAAGGTTCTGCAGCCTGCCCCCACTGTATCCACGGCAACCTTTTCTTATTCTTCCTCATTCTATCTGCACTCTTCTCTGGCCAGCGGCTCTCCTCAATGCATCCCAAGCTAAACCTTTGCCCTCATTGCTGCTCCATACCGACGCCCCTGACTCCTCATCACCTGAGTCTTATCTCAATCAGCCCCCAGACCTCCCCTAGGTCAATCTGTCTTGAAGCATCCCAGACTGTTCTCTTCCCCGAGGCAAGGCGGTGACTTGCCAAGCATTTCCTGTATGTTAGTGAGACTGGAGTTAGAGCAGGTGCCAAATCTTCCTCTTCCCATATGTCACACCTGGGCATGTCAAATACCCTTAAGAATCTCGACTCACAAGAGAAGTTAGCAAAGTGCTCCTACAGCCACATCTGCAGTTTGTGGCTACAGTCTGAACTGTAGAACTGCAGACAGTTCTACAGTCACTGTCTCCCTTGATCCTCACACCAACCCTGGGAGAAAGGCAGAATGTTAAATATCATGTGGTAGAAGGGAAACTAAGGCCCTGGAAGAGAAAGTGACTTGCCGAAAGCCCAGGGTGAACCAGAACATCTGGACTCCTATCCAGCGCTCTCGACCAACTACCATGCTGCCTGCTTTACCCCATCTGCTTTGGTCATCAGATCACCATGGAAGCAAGTCCCATCTCTGCTTCATTTGGGGTCCATGGAGGCTAGACCCAAGAAGGCGAGGCCCTACCCTCCAGGCATGTGGAAACACAAGTGGTTGCTACTGATCTGATGTGCTTCTCCTCAAAGAATGTGGCCACTGGAAACAGGGATCAGAATGAGCTTCCTTGAAAAATGGTCATGAGTCAAGAAGGCAAATCCAAGGGACGATGTGGAATCCTTTAACTTGGAAATCTCCGGGAAAATGGGGCAGCCTTCACCCACTCCTGCCTCCATACCCACCATGTTGGTTCAGGCCAGGTTGGGCCAGAGGCAGGGCAAAAGAAGAAAGCCATTAGACTGCCCCATGGCTCCCAGTCCCCTTTCCCAGCTGTTCCATGTCCTAGCCCATGCCTGGATGCCATTCTTACACTCACACTTGTGTGCACGCCCACACACACATCACACACCTTGCTGGTCAGTCACAGCCTGGCCTCTGTTCCTGTGGGCCAGAGGCCAGACGCCCCCTGGGACAGCTCAGAGAGTCAGGACTCAGAGCAGCCCTGAGTGTAAGTGAAAAAATTCCACATCTGGAGAGGATCTGGGTTCAGATCTCCAGACCTGAGGTAGGTCACCAGGGACTGGGAGAGAGAAGTTGAGGGCAGAATGGAGAACGGAAGAGAGGGAGGAGTGCGAGGAGAAAGGAGGAATGCAACGGGTGGAGGAGAGAAGTGAAAAGGGAGGGAAGCGCCATGCAAGTGCTAGAAAGAAGGGGGCAGGAGGGATGAGTCCCATGGCCCCCTCCCCAGAAACGACCACCTCCGGGACTCAGCGCTCCCTGGGGGGCCAGGCTCCGCCAGCCCTCGGCCACACCTCCCGTGGCTCCAGCGTCCACGTCCACGTCCTAGCGCCCTGGATGGAGAGGGCCGGCTCTGGCCCTCCCTTCCTCCCGGCTACGCCCGCCCGGTGGTCTCTCCCGCCGCATTCAGCCCCTACTCACCTGGGGACCCCGGGCGGGGCGCGGTTGGGGCGCGAGGGCACCTGGGGGGGAGGACCGAAGGGGTCAGGGGAAGCCCCCGGCCTGGAGGGCACGGGGGGCGCCCCCCCCAGGGCGGACCCAGCAGGCGGAGGCCCAGGAGCAGGGCCCCGCGACCCGGGCCGGGCTGGGGGCACGGCGGGGGCTCGGCGCTGCGGCGTGGGGCTGGACGTGGGTGACCTGCGGACGAGAGGGCGCGGAAAGCAAGGAGGGAAGAGATGAGTAGCTCCGCCCTATCCTGAGGCCCCGCCCCAGCCCAGCGCCGGCCACGCCCATGCGCGGAAGCCCCGCCTCGCCGCGCCCTACTTGTTCCCGGAGGTTAAGCCCCGCCTCTGGCGGCTCCGAAGTTCCAGCTCCACCCAGCCCCGCAGCCAGCGCTTCACGGCAAGCCCCGCCCCGCGTCAAGCCCCGCCCATCTCTAAGCCCCGCCCCCTGCTCCAGGTGGGAGCCGTTCCGGTGACGCGGGCGCGCCACTGCCCGGTCCCGGCCCACCTCCCGCGGGCCCCGGGTTGGGGGGCTTTGGGGCCGTGGGGGCCGGCCCTGGTACCTGCGTCCGGCCGGTACGCTCTGCACCTGCAGCCAGGAGTCGTCCACGGGCGGGGGCATGGGCGTGCTGACAGTGGTCGTGTTGATATCGCCGATGATGCTGAGCGCCTCCTTCAGTGCGTGGTACATGCGCAGCATCTCGTCGCGCCGTTGCGCCTGCTCCGCCGACTCCTCCATCAGTGTGTTCTGGTCCCCGCACGAGTACAGGTTGGCGAGCAGCTCCGAGAAGATGAATTCCTTCGTCTGCGGGCGCGCCAAGAGAGGAGGGGCTAGGACCTGACGCCTGTACCAGTCTGGCCGCCTTGGGGGACTGTGCGCTGGACTGGGAGCTCGGTGGTCCTGGCTTTGCCACTCCTCTGAACTCAGAGATCTCCCCCGCTTTCCCGTCTCCATGCTTGCCCTTTCCTCAGATGGTCCAGAGGGGGAAAGTGACCTGTCCAAGGTCATAGATATGGACGAGATCGGGCACGTTCAGGGTGGTATGGCCGTAGACTCCAAGGTCATAGATATGGGAGGGCACTCAGGGCCCACCATGCAACCAGCACACCTAGTTATTCAGCTTTGTTTCAGCCTCAGTTTCCTCATCTGTAAAATGGGATAGTTATAACCCTTTCCAAGGACTTACACAATCCACGGGGCCAAAATAAGGTAGATGACATTTTAAAAATCCCCAAGCCCTTGAGTAGCAGATGTAAATACATGCCTGGACTGGGTGAAATCTGAGTCTCTATGTGTAGGTGGTGGGCTCCTTTATGCTCTACAGGTGCTACCTGGCGCAGGCCCTGGGATATTCATGGGGAGGCACTGAGGTTTTTACACCATAGGTCTGTGTCTCACTTATTCGTTATTTAAATATATGTTGAGCACCTACTCCTACTATGTGCCAGGCACTGTGCTGCTCTGCACTTTATATTCCCTTAATTCTCAACTCTATTATTATCCATATTTTTACATAGAGGGAAACAGAGGATCAGGAAGGGTAGTTTACTGAAAGTCAAACAGAATTTGTGGCAAAGCCAGGATTGAAATACAGTTCTAATTCTCTAGGGGCCATGCTTTTTCACTAAGCCATGGGTGGTAGTGGTTCTGCAGGACGCACATTTCAAAACATGGTCAGGGAGTTCTCAAAAGGTGTGATTCCTAGTCCCTTTTGGGAAACATTTAAGCATGTTTGGAACAACTTGGGTATGTGAATCAAAATACAAAATAGTATATAAAGCTCACATTATATTTCTTTTTGGACAGCTCTAGTGTGGACCTATACCTACCTCTCTAGACCTGATCCCAAGGGACTGGTCTGTGCCTCCCCCAGGCCAACCTGGCCACTCCCTCCCTGGTCCCAAAAGAGCACCCACTGGCCGCGAAGTGTTGCACCCACATTGTTGATCATGAGATGCATGATGGTCTTCGGCATGAGGTCACGCACGGTCTTGTTCACGATGGCCATGTATGAGTCTACCAGGTTCCGGATGGTCTCCACCTGCCGCTCTAGCTGTGGGTCCATGGAGTGCATGAAGCTGTCTGAGCCATTCTCCTCTGTTTCGCTGGCCTGCCGTTGAGAATAGAGGGCATCAGAGTGGCTGGGCCCTCGTAGCCAGGTTCCAGCCACTCCCAGGGTCTCAGCCCCTTGAAGGGTGCCTGGAGAACTGAGTACAGAGAGCAAAGGGCCTGAACACACAGACACTGGCTCCTCCAAACGTTCTGTGTCTGCACTCTGCCCACCCCAGTGTCTCTAAGGCACCCAAACCCTTTTTCAGCCTTATCTCCGCTCTCAACTTGGTGCCTAGAATTTGCCTCAGTCTCCCAGTCTCTCAATTAGCAAAGACCTTTCCAAGGCCCCTTCCTGATTCTAAAATTCTTTTTTTTTTCTTGTTAAAAAGATTTTATTTATTCATGAGAAAGACAGAGAGAGGTAGAGACCTAGGCAGTGGGAGAAGCAGGTTCCCTGGGGGTAGTCTGATGTGGGACTCGATCCCGGGACTCTGGGATCACACCCTGAGCCTAAGGCCGATGCTCAACCACTGGGCCACCCAGGTCCACCCCCTTCCTGATTCTAAAGACCTGGCCAGAGCTGCTGCCAGGCTGGAGACACCTGGCAGAAGGTGAGAGAGGGGCACACTCACTTTCTCCTTGTCCTGGGAGGCCCACACCAAAGCCATAGAGGCCGCGACACCAGCATTGCCACCACCGCCGCCGCCGCCACCAGCAAGCACAGCCAAAGCAGACACACACACAGAAAGGAAAAGATGAGTGAACCCAGGGCACTTGACCCCAACCCTAAGGCAACTGTAGACATCACCACAGTGAAGGAGAGAAGGAAAATGAAGGTAGCCACAAAACCCCCTGAACTATTCTACGAAGAGAATGAAGGAATTGCCATCTGTGGTCGAGGAGGCTCACAAAAAACTGGCTTTGGAGGACAGGAGGAAGGCTTAACTCTGATCCCACCCTAGTACAGGTAAGGGGGAGGATCTGTGCTATTTCTGAGCCCTGATGACATGACTTGGCATCGCTGAGGATAGTGATTCAGGGCCCCCTATTAGAAGTAACTTGCCCCCCTCCCTGCCCTTCCACTCACCCCAACGCGTTCAGGATATACGCCAGCCCGCAGGAAAGAGGCCTTCCAGCTATCCACCTCCTCTTGCGTCTCACAGGCCAGTTCCAGCTGCCGATAATCCTTGTAGACATTCCTGCAAGGTGGGGAAGGCGGCGAGGGGAGAAGGCTCGGAGACCCACTCACCCAGGTGATTAAGGTCATGCACAGATTGGGGACATCACACCTGAGGCCCAGTCCTGGCTTCCTCATTTCCCAGCTGTGTGACCCTGGGCATGTCCCCTCACCTCCCAAGCTTGTTTCCTTGCCTGGAAGATGGATTAATAAAAACAATTCCTGCCTCCCTGGGTCATTGTAAGGATTCAGTGAAATAAATGGTAAAATGCTCTATTAAAAAGATACTAAAAAGGAGAAGGGGGACTGAGATCTCATACGAGGGGCATCCCTGACTGTGCAGCCTCCATTGGCTCCCTCCTTGGCTCTCTGGGGACCTCCCTGATGGCAGCTGTACTGAACCCTCGGTCAGCCCTGGCTTGAGAGGTGAGAGGCCTGGTACTGTCACCAACCCTGCTGGACACTGAGCAACAAGGGGATCCGGCCTGATGGGCCCTTTGTCCCCCATGCTTAGCAGGGTGTCTTAGGCAGAGCAGGCGCTTACCAAGTGATTGACTGAATATTTGTCAAAGGAATGACTCTCGCTGTGGGGCTTGGAGCAGGTCCCTCTCCTTTCTGCTCAGGAAAGGTGGTTTGGGGCTTGCAGTCTGGGGACCCACCTCTGCTCAGTGTTAAAGAGGGCAAAGATGTGCTTGCTTGACATGAAACCTTTCTCCACGTCCCGTAGCTTCAGATTGTCCACGGAGAGCATGTATTTCTTCTCTTTCTCCTGTGGATAGAGGTGGGAGCGATGGGTGAGGTCGGTGCCATGCTTCATATCCTAAGACTGTTCCATGCGGAGGTTTGGGGCAGTGGGGGAGCAGGGCTCTGGAGCCCCAGGGCGGCCCTGGGCTTCTGGGCACCCGTGACCCCTGCACAGCATAGGTGCTGTCTGAAGAAAGCCTGGCCACGGAGCCCTGGACCTGCTGAGCACCTCTGGTTCCCAGTGGCTTTCAAGCCATTCCCACCACCTCTGCATACATGCCAGAGCCCAAGAGGGCAGGGTGGCGAGACGGAAGGTGGATCCTACTCCCCCCCAAGCAAGCCCTGGATGCTGTCCAGGCCAGCCCTAGCCAGGGACCCCTCACTCAAGCTTCTCTCGCCCCCGGCCTGGCCAATGGGACCTGCTTTAGCTAAGTTGCTGATTTCATTTCCTGACTATAGAGACAAGAAGGGGGGCCACCAGCACCAGCAGCTTCAAAGGGCTGGCTCAGCCCACACCCTCTCCTCGCCCCACCCCCCAGGCGCCCATGTGTTAGCAATCAGGCGCACAGCACAAGCCTGGAGATGGTATGTCTCTGTGTGCAGCATGTGTGTAGTTGTGTGTGTAAACACATGCCAGCTGGAGCACGTACCATATCACCACTGTGATGTGAGCCCACGTGTCTGTGTTGCGTAGGTGCGTGTGTGGGCATGTGTGTGCCTGAGGAGGTGCCTAGCATGGCCATGTGTTTGTGTGAGCAGGCCTGTGTGTCAAGGCGGATGTGTGCACAGTTTCATAGATGTATGTGGCAGCTGTAAATATCTGTGTTTGTATGGAGTGTGCCTGTGGGGAACACTGTGGGCTTGCATGTTCATGTGCATATGGTTTGCTGAATAGGTTGAATGCGTTTGGTTTATTTGTAGTCATCTGGGAGGAGTAATATGTATCTGTGGATGGGCATGTGGGTGCCCGGCCTCCGTGCACACTAATGTGTGCCTGCTGTGGGCCGACATTTGTCTGTAGCTGTCCAAGGGAGGCTCGGGGGTTCTGCTGAGAAGGTACTCCAGGAGGGGGCTCTGGGAGGAGGAACCCCTGGTACCCCACATGCCCACACCACAGGACCCATGCCGTGGTCGGGGAATGTCTGTGTGGATCTCAGGGACTCAGGGCTTGGGCATGAGCCTCATCCAGGATCTCAGGTCGGGGATGGATTTAGGGGGACCCTGCTCCCCAGTCCTGGCACCATCCTGCCCACCTCCTTCTGCCCTCCACACCCGCCTGGCCCGTCCAGCCACATAAAGCCTTCTTTATGCCAGGCGGGTGGCCGGGAGCCCCAGAGGGCGGCTGGGGGAGGAGAGAAGGAAGTTGCACACGCGGCCAGGGAACATCTGGAAGCGTTCGAGGGAGGCCCCGCCACCACCCGCCCTGTGCTCTGGGGTTGGACTCTAGGTAGGAGCGGCCTCCTCCCCCCACCCCTCCCTTCCTGCCGGCCGGCCCCCTCCCCAGGCCCCTCCTTCCCAGCCACAGCTCCCGCTCACCCCTGCCACGTCAAAGGAGGCAGAAGGGGAGTCGGGAGCAGAGAGGGGACCACGGGCTGGCTGGGCTGGGGCTGGGGGCCTTGGGTCTCCAGGAGATGGGGCCGAAGCTCTCACCCGACGGACAGACACAGCTGCCTGGAAGGACCAGAGGACACCTCCACTCCGTCTACCCAGTGTTTAGACTATCTGTTCAGGACTCCCAAATTGTACAGTAGTCTGCACATTGGTTAGGCTGGGCTGGGTTAGACCCTCGGCGCCGCCGCTGGAGAGCTGGACTGACCCCCACCCGCCATCCCAGAACCGGAACCCGGAGATGGGGCAGGGGGCTGCTGGGGGGTGCAGGGGGTGCTGGGAGGAGGTGTAGAGGGAGGGGGGCACCGTGCTGTGAGACGGGATGGGGATGCTGATGGGTGGCAGAGGGAGACCCAGAAGATGGGGGGTTCAATGAGGACTACGGATATGGGGAGCCGCCTGTCTGCCCAGAGGGCCGCCCATGTCCCAAAGACTAGAGGGCTGGCAGCTGGGGAGAGAAGGGGACAGATCATCCTCCCTGCAGCCCAGACCACCTCCATGTCCGCAAGCTGTTCTAGTGCAAAAATCCACTCACATGCAACACACACACACATACGCACTCAATTCGACATGCACACCTCCACCACTCAGGCACATACATTCCCACACCCAAACTAATATCACACATTCATGCCGCAAGCACACTTGCACATCTCAAGGCCACAAGCTTGGGCACACATACATACCCTCACAACGGAACACGAGCTCTCTCCCATCCTTACATCCCAAGCACACGCATGTTCTCAGATGCTCCACATGCACACTCTCCCTCCTCCAGCCCATTTGCTACATAAAGCTTCACTTACACACCGAGAAAGGGCACACATGGTCTTCCCCCAACCACACCTAGATGCTTATAGCCCAAACACTCTCCTGCACCACCACCCCTCCCGCCACACATAACATCCATCAGCCTCACACACCCCACCCCCCAGCACTTACTACCCACCCCTACTGCACCCCACACATGCTCAGCACAGTTCCCACACACAACCCAACTCAAATGTACATACAAAGCTCAGAAAGACCCCACCACTCAAGGACAGGGTCCCTCTTGGATACTTTCTCCCACAGGGCAGCCCTCAGCCCCAGGTCACACTGTCCCCTGGCCCAACATATAAGGAGCCCCAACTTAAGAGCATCAGGAGTCCTAGGGCCAGTAATCAGTGCCCCCAGCCCATGAGGGGGTCTAGGCAGCCTGCCTGAGCGACAGAGCAGGAAGCGACACCCCCCGCCACGTCACGCCACCTCACACTCCAACCCTTCCAGGGGCCCCATGCTCAGGGAGAGGCCAGGGTTGGGGTAATGAGGTCCAGATGGCTTGGCGCCCCCGCCAGTGACGACGGAAGGCCCAGCCCAAGATGAGGAGGAGGGGGCCTTGCCCAGGGCGACTTGGAGGAGGCAGGGATCAAGGAGGGAGCTCAGAGACCAAAATCACAGCTCCCACCCCAGCCCCACTTCCCCACTGAGAGCTCCCTCTCCTCCGAAAGCTTCCTCAGGAAGAAGGTCCCCTCCCCCACTGGGTGGCCAGCTGGAGTTCATTACCACAAGTCTCCCCCCCAAAGCCCCAAGCCCTCCCTGTTCTCTCTGGTCACCTCTGGAATCCAGATGTGGAAGCCAAATAGACTCATTTTTAAAGGAGACCAGCAGCAAGGGAGGGAGGTGGCAGGCATTCTGTGAGCCCATGTGGGCAGGGAGGGGTTTTGTGTGGAGCCTCTGCAGGGCCCCATCACTCCTGGCCCCTTGGCCTGGAGGCCCTCAGGGCATCTCTCTTGTGCCCGTGGGGTCTGGGGGACTGGGGTGCAGGGGTTAATAGGGTGTCTGGCAGCTGGACATATGTGTGTGTCATAGGTCTGTGGGGGCCACAAGGGAGGCGGCACACCCCAGAGCAGGAAAACAGGAAGGCCACAGGGCTGGCGGGGTCAGGGAGGGGCACCCAGCACCCCTGCCTACCCTCCCCAGGGCACTTGGCCCCAAACTCCCTGATCCTGCCAAGGCACCTTCTCTTTCCCGCCTAGATGAGCTCTCAGGATTGTCTGCCTCTGATCCTTGCGGGCCACCTCTATTCAAGGGGCTTTAATGGGATTTAAAAAAAAAAAAAAACTTTGTTTGTTGGGTGGCCCAATCTACTCCAAGCCCTTGGAGTAGTGTCTGAGCCTGAATCTGGCCCCAGCCAAACCCTTTGATGAGCAGTGGCCCTTTACTCACCTCGTCATCCTTGTACCAGGACAGATTCTCAGCGGTCAGGACAAACCAGTACTCCTTGGAGCCCCCCTTCATGATGCCAATATTGTTGATGGTCAGCCAGCCCTTCCGGATGACCTGGAGGGTGAGAGGGCAGGAGGTCAGTGGGGAGAGGCCAGGACTCCCCCTGGAGGATGGGGTAGGCAAAGAGAAACACTCAAAAGCCCACCCCTCCTCCAGCTCTTGGAAGCCTGGCTGGGCAGGGAGGGTGTGGGCCAGACCTGCCCTGTTTTGAACCACAAGTAACAGACTGGAGACAGAGGAAGGCATAGGTCAGCTCAGGATAGAGAGCCTTCTGAGAGTCAGAGCCATCTGAGTAGGGGACTGGTAGCCTTGGTAGGGGATGAGCTCCCCACCGCTAAAAGTATGCAAGTAGAGTGTAGGGGGCCAACTGGGCAATGTCTTTTCAGCTTAAGATCCACTTAATTCTAAGACTTGTTTCTGATCTCAATGACTATATAAGTGCCGCTGCTGTCTCTGCCTAGAAAGCACTTCCCTCCTGTTGGCCTGCCGAATTCCTCCATACCCTCTGGGTATCAGCTCAAAAGTCACATTCTCAGGCAGGCACTCCCTCACCCCCAGTATAAGTCAGGACCCTCATTGTCATCTTACTGTCTTTTACAGCTCCCTTAAGTCTTTTCCTATGACAATGACTGAGGTTTCAAGATTGTGTGTCATGTGTATGTCTGTGTGTGTCTATGTGTGAGAGAGAAAGAGCGAGAGAGAGTGAGTGATTATCTGTTGATGTCAGACTGCCTTGCTAAATTATGAACTCTTTTGCCTGCTCACTGGTATATCCCAGTGCCTTGCAGTGTGCCTGGCAATCAGTAAGTGATCAATAAATGTTTGTGGCATGAAAACATGAATGGTTCTGAGGGTCTTTGGCCTCAGGCCCTGAATGGGAGCAGGGTGGTAGGGCTTGGGAACAGGGTGAAAGGCTGAGCATGAATTGAACAGGCCCTTCCTCCCTGGGGACCCCAGAGAAATAGGCAAAGATCTGTTTTCCAGCAGGAAGCAGCTGTCCCCAAGACCATCCTGAGCCATCACCACACACAAGGCCTGTAGATTCTACTCCAAGGGCAAGGCCACTAACTAGACCCTGGGGGTGGGCCAAACTGAGGAGGAGGGAACTCTCTCTTCTCCTTCCCCTAGCCCTGACCTCCCTGGCTTCTCTAAGCATCCAGAGAAGAGCCGAGGAGCCTGGGGATGGCAGGAAAGCCTGCTTCTGAGGCCTCCTGGAACCCTCCTCGACCCTCTGGCTTCCCCAGGAACCTTGCAGAGAACCCAAGTGACATAGTAGATCAGTAGCTGAGTAGCTACCTTAGCCATTAACAGAAACAAGGTAGCCAGGTGCTCTGTGGTGCCTCTCCTACCCTGTCCAGGTCCGATAAGGACCTTAGTGTCTTGTCACTATCTTTGGAACTGAGTCCAAATGCCATGCCCTGGCACTCCCTACCCCTCATGAGCAGACCTTGTCACTCTACTCCCTGCTCTGACCTGCAGGCTTTGTCCTCCCTTGGCCACCCCCAGCTCTGCTAAACCCCCTTGCAGAGCTCCTGCACCAGAAACCTCCTGCCCCTCCAACTCCCATCCTGCTGGGGCTTGATGGCAGGCTCAGGTGTCCAGGGGTCAGGGCCAGAATCTGACTCCTGTCTGGCAGCCTGTGCAGTGTAGGCACCACCGAGTGTTTGCTGAACTCAGATATTACACTCATTGATGCCTTAGTTCTACTGAGCACCTACTCTATGCCAGGCACTAGGCTGTAGGGCTGAAGACTTGCTGATGGACAAGAGAGACCCAACCCTTCCCCTCATGGGGTTTGAGAGGGAAATAGGTATGAACCCAATAATCACACAAACACCTAGATTGTCATAAAGAAACTATGGCCTCTGGAAGATTCCAGACCATGGCTTGTGTGTACAGGTGGGGGTAAAAAATGGTGTTTCAGCAGAAATCTGAAGGACAGAATGGGCAAGGAGGGACTTGTCTCTTGACATTCATTTATCTCTTTACTCAACTCTCCAGTAGAGATGGCTATCTTAAAAACATATTTCTCTTCCATCCATCCATCCATGCATGCATCCATCCATCCAACAGATATTTTTTTTAAAGCAAATCTGTTTTTTTTTTTTTATGGTAGTCACAGAGAGAGAGAGAGAGAGAGAGAGGCAGAGACACAGGCAGAGGGAGAAGCAGGCTCCATGCACCGGGAGCCCGACGTGGGACTCGATCCCGGGTCTCCAGGATCGCGCCCTGGGCCAAAGGCAGGCGCCAAACCGCAGCGCCACCCAGGGATCCCTATCCAACAGATATTTGAGGAGCACCCACTGAGTGCCAGGCCCGTCAGCCATTTGTGCCCACCCAGCCCAAATGGTCTACCTCTGACTGAAGTAGAAGCTTAGCTCATGCGCACTAATGGACAGGTTGATGGGACTCTGAATGGCCAGGCCTTGCCTCTGGACTGAGAGCATGTGTGGGCACCCATGTGCTGGTATGTACAAGCAGCTCAAGCCAAAGAGTGCCCTTTTGCCCCCTGGGCATGCCCACTACTAATGGGTCCCCTCCTCCCCTTCGCTATACAAGCCAAGAGCCCCAGTCCTGGTACTCACCAGAATCTCATCCTGCAAAGAGGTAACCATAGCAACCACGAGAAGCATCGGGAGAGAGGAGAGAGGGTTACTGAGGCAGAGTGGGAGGCTTGTGGCTGGCAGCTGATAGGATCCCTGGCCCCTGTGAGACCCTTCCCCTCGGGGGAGGGGGCTCCCAGAGCTTGGCGTCCATCCGGCACCCTCCATCCCTCCGGCTGGGGCACTGGGGTTCACTCACCTGGTTCCCTGAAGCCTTCTTCTTGTTCATCTGGTTGCTCCTCTGCTGAGCACTAAGAAGAGAAGGAAGAGTCTCAGAACTTCTCCTCTCAAGAGGCCTAGCTTCAATGCCACTGCTCAGTGGGCACCAGACCCAGAGGGTTAACCCAACAGGCCTGGGTCCTACACACACACACACACACACACACACACACACACACAAGAGGTGTCACTTCTTAGCCTAGGGAGCACTCACTTGGCAAAGCCTATGAAGTCCTCATGATTGGTATTCATGTACGCCAGCTCAATATCGATGAGGAGCATAACCTTTGAGGATACGCAGGTCAACAGGCAAGTGGAAAAAACATGACAGGGTTTTAAAAATGCATGAAAGGCTGGAAGAAACATACTTATAGCAAATATAGAACCCATAATATATCAATCAATGCATCAGTAATAGTACCCATAATAAATAAAGAATTCCTATGAGTAAATAAATGAAAGGCAGACACAAAAACACAAATCAAAATAGCCAAAGAACATGAATGGGTAATTCATAGAGGTAATACATGTAATCAGTAAGTCTATGTAAAAGAATGCTCACCCTCATAACTAAAGAATGAGACCTTTTTATAACCTATCAAATTAATAATAAATATTGGTAATGTGGGCATTGTGGAAGATGGATTCTCATATACTGTTGGTGGAAGTACAAGTTAGGATCACCTTCTTGGAAGGTAATTTGGCAATATTGAACAATATTAAAATGCACATATTCACATCTAGAGATAGGTACATAGACTCACAAAGTGAGCAAAGATATATGTATATCAGGGTGTTCAGTGTGGTGTAGTTTGTAAAGGAGAAAAATTTTCAAGAAGCCAATGACCATCAGAAGGTGAAATAAATTATTGGATCCTCTGAACAATAAAGCTCTCTATAGCTGTTCAAAAGAATGAGGACAATTTCTAGGTTCTGGCATTGGAAAATCCCAGGATGAGTGATGGGATTTGTAACTGAGTTCTGACCAGAGTGACGTGCCTGACGCACACTGCTGAGTTTCGACCCAAGCGCCACTGCTTTCTATAAGAAACCTGTGCTCACTAAGTCTCCAGTTCATCAGATGAAGTGGTCTGCCTCCTGGAGTGGTGAAGACACAATGAAATGAGGCAGATCACATGTCTGACATGTAATGGGCACTCAACAGATGTTAGCTACTACAATTATCTTTAGAGGAAAAAGAGAAGACACACAACAGGACTGCAGTTACTGAAGATTAAGATGGAATCTGGAATGTGTATATGCGTAGGGGGAAAATGCCTTGGGGCACCTGGGTGGTTCAGTGGGTTAAGCATCTGCCTTCGGCTCAGGTCATGATCCCAGGGTCCTGGGACTGAACCCTCTCATCAAACTCCCTGCTCAGTGGGGAGTCTGCTTGTCCCTCTCCCTCTGCCCTCCCCCCAACTTGTGCTCTCTCTCACTCTCTGTCTCAAATAAATAGATAAGATCTCTCTTTTTTTAAAAAAGATTTTACTTATTTTTGAGAGAGATTGTGAGCAAGGCTGAAGATTTTATTAAGTATTTATCACTTTTGTAATTAAAGAGATCAGTGAGGATTCAAAACTTACAACAAAGATGTGAATGACTGGGGCGGCAGCACCGTGGTGGAGAAAGGGCGTGTGAGGATGGAGGCTAGGAATTGGAAGCCAGAAGCAGGTATAGATAGAAAGGTGACAGAGAGTTGGACAAATAAGGAGGACTCGCCCATGAGCCTCATGAGGGCCAGGAAGGGGCCTGCTCATCTCTGCTCCTCCCAGCTCAGGGGTGGCATTGAGTGACTATGTTTGTGATTGAATGAATGAATATCTGATAAACTATTGAAATGAAATGAAAGCATATACAGGCAATAGAATAGTGTTCAGGTATTCCTTAGAAAGGAAGGGAATTCAGAAGGGGCACCTACGACCCAATGTTCATAGCAGCAATGTCCACAGTAGCCAAACCACGGAAAAAGCCCAGATGTCCACTGACAGACGAATGGATAAATAAGATGTGGCATAGGGCAGCCCCAGTGGCGCAGCAGTTTAGCGCCGCCTGTAGCCCAGGGCGTGATCCTGGAGACCCTGGATCGAGTCCCGCATCGGGCTTCCTGAATGGAGCCCACTTCTCCCTCTGCCTGTGTCTCTGCCTCTCTCTCTCTCTCTCTGAATGAATAAATAAATAAATCTTAAAAAAAAGTTTTAAAAAATAGTATGTGATATATATATATATATATGATGAATATTATGATGGAATATTACTCAGCCACCAAAAAACCGAAACCTTGACACTTGTAATGACATAGATGGAACTAGAGGGTATTATTCTAAGTGAAATAAGTCGATCAGAGAAAGACAATGATCACGTGATTTCACTTGTGTGGAATTTAAGAAACAAAACAGAGGAGCATAGGTCAAGGGAGGGAAATATAAAACAAGACAAAATCAGAGAGGGAGACAAACCATAAGAGACTCTTAATCATAGGAAACAAATTGAGGGTAGCTGGAGGAGGGTAGCGGGATGGTGTAACTGGGTGATGGGCATTAAGGAGGGCACATGACGTACTAAGCATTGGAACTGATGAATCACTGACCTCTACCTCTGAAACCAATAATACGCTATATGTTAATTAATTGAGGTTAAATTTTTTTTTTTTTAAAGAAGTGAATTGGGATCCCTGGGTGGCGCAGCGGTTTGGCGCCAGCCTTTGGCCCAGGGCGTGATCCTGGAGACCCGGGATAGAATCCCACGTCAGGCTCCCTGCATGGAGCCTGCTTCTCCCTCTGCCTATGTCTCTGCCTCTCTCTCTCTCTCTCTCTCTCTCTCTCTCTCTCTCTCTCTCTCTCTGTGACTATCATAAATAAATAAAAAAAATAAAAAATAAAGAAGTGAATTCTGACACCTGGCATAGATGGACCTTGAGAAAATTATGCTAAGTGTTTTTTTTTTATGCTAAGTGTTATAAGCCAGACGCAAAAAGACCATGGTTATAGGATTCCACTTAGACGAGGTTCCTAGAGTTGTTAAATTCGTAGGAACACAAAGTAGAATGGTGGTTGCCAGGGGCTGGGGGAAGGCAGGGGCTGGAGAGTCACTGTTTAATGGCACAGAGCTTCATCTGAGGAATATTAAAAGGTTCTGGAGACAACAGATGGGGGGGATGACGGATGGGGATGACGGTGGCACAACAGTGTGAATATGCTTTATACCACTGACCCGCTCATTGAGAGGTGGTCAAGGTGGTATGTTTTACATTGTACATATTTTCCCACAGTAAAAAAAGAGAGAGAAGCAGAGAGTGTGAGACCAGAAAGTGTGAGGGAGACAGAGACAGAAGAGGCAAAATGGGAAGGAGAGGGAGGAGGGCCCAGGGGCAGCAGGGGCTGTGGACTCACCTGCTCCTTGGTGCGACCCTCACGCTCCCGGATGTGGGTGGTCACGATGCGCTCCATCTCCTCCCGAAGCCGGGGGTACTGCTGCAGCTGGGGAGGGGCGGGAGGGGAGAGAGCCACGTACACAGGGGGCACTGGCGGGGAGCTCCTCCACCCCACCAGAATCCGGGGATCCAGGGGCGTGGGGTGGGAGGCACACACAGAAGGCCCGGGATGAGGGGAAGAGAGGCCTGGGGTCCCCAGGAAGCTGAAGGCACCAAGCCACGGCCACCCTCTCCCCCAAGTGTGGGTTCCAAATGACAACTCGAGGGTCTTTCCGGTTCTAGACCCTCGTCCCTGGCCTACTTGGGCAGCTTTGAGGGGAGGGCAGTGAGTTCCCATGGGCAGAAGTGCCACGGGGCTTGGCCTCCTATTTCACCTTGGTAGTGGCCTCTTGGAAACAGACTATTCGACTGAGGCCTCTGTTTGGGGGCCCGTCAGCCCCCAAAGCTTTCACTGACCCCAGAGCTATGCCTTGTCCTCCCAAAGGCTCGGAGGGACAGTCAGGTGGGGAATCAGGCAGAGAACAGCCTTGAGATTCCTATCCAGGAAGAATCCGGGGAGGGCAGGGCCCGAGGTGCCAGTTGGCCTCCTGAGTCAGGCTGGGGACAGGCAATGGTCCTTGTCAGAGCTGAGGGAGGGGGCAGGGGGAAGCCAGCGGGCACATACAGGACATGCAGGAGCCACAGGCAAGCATGCGAGGGCACAGGGCAGGAGGCATGCGGAGTGGGGTGCCAGCAGCATGAGCAGTACCCCGCGGGGGCCTGGCTGGACCCCGGGCCCTCTTGGTAGAATCCACGCGATTTTGCCTCCCTTTGCATGCCCCGGCCTGGCACCATCATCCCCAGCAACATCTGCCCAGCCAACCTGTCTCTACCCCGCTCCTTGGGAGTAGGAGCTCACCGGTACCCACGTCCCTCCAATTTTTATCAACTGAGGCCCAAGGGGAAGTTACTCTAAAACCTCCTCTCTCTGTGAACTCTGCCCTCAGCTCAATGGGATTCTGGACAAATCTCACAATGCTTCATTCTCCTGCAGGACTGTTGGATGCCACCTCCTCCAGAAAGTCTACCCTAACTACCCCAAGAACTGGGTTAGGGGCCTCTCTATGCCCCCCCCCACACCCAACAACTGGATTGTCATTGCCCTGAGGGCAGGAGCAGAGCCAGGCACATGCCTGGAGCTCAGAGAGGGCAGGTTGAAGGAATGAGAGAATGAATGAAGGATGGATGTCTTTGCCTTCCTCTTCAGGGTGAGTGGACATCAGCCTTTCTGGTTCATGAACAGGCTCCTCTTCAGGGAGGGGGCCTCATTGAGCTGATGATGGGGAGTCCACTCACAGGAGTCTTGCTGGGCTGCCCTCACCACTTGGTGGTGGTCACATGGGACCCAGGTCGGGCAAATCTTGAACCAGTCCCATCCCTCTTCCCATGCCTGGGTGGGGCCCCTCAGGTAACTCTCCCTATGCAGGAAGAGACCTGGAGGTTAGTGTGCCTGGGTCACAGGTGGTGATCCTGAGGGCAAGATGGAGGCCAAGGAGATGGGGCGGGGGCGGGGGGGGCGGGGGGAGAGGCAGCAGGATGGGGAGGAAAGTGGTGCCCTGGATGCCCAGGAGAGGTAGATGTGAGAGATGGCTCATCTTCCCCCTCCATCCCTGACCATCCCATGGCTATGCCAAGGTGTGGCTGACGTGGCCAAGCAAAGAGGATCTGGAGGAGAGATAACCCGAGACCAGGCCTTCAGAACAAACACTAGCCAGACGGTCTGGCGGACTCGCTGCCCCATGAGGCCTAAGGAGGGGCTCCCACTCCTTAGTTGCCAACTTGGGGCAGAGATTCAGGACTGAGTCACTTCCTCTGAGGTGGTCCCAAGTGCTTCCTCCCAGGGCAGGGCTGTGGCAGGGGGGTGGAGGGGTGGGGAGAGGTGGGCAAAGAGGGAACAGGGAGCAATTTGCCAATGAGCATGACCAATTCTCCCACTAACCGCCTGTATGTTACATGTGTCAAGTTTTCCACGTGTCACACATGACAGGGCAGCCTCAGCCTCTTTGAGAAGTTCTGTTCCCTTTGAGCATCTTTTTCCATTCTGGCTGTCTCTGAGCATTTCCAGGACTTTTAGCCAGTTTTTAAAATGGAACATTTCTCTCCCAGTCCTTGGCTGAGCGGGGCAGTCAGCTCGGAGCCTGTGAGTTAGTGGCCAAGGATGCGGGCCTGGGCTTGTTTCAAAGCCAGCCCCTGCCCTGCTGACTCTCCTTAGGAAAGTGACTGCCAGCTTCTGCGAGCCTCGGTTTCTCCGTGTGTGAAATGGGGCAGTAACAGCACCTTCCCTCTTAGGGTTGTCAGGAAGATTGAGCAGCACATCCCATGGGCGTCATTAAACTCCAGATTTCATCCAGAGAGGAAAGTTGTAATCCCAGCAGGCCTGGGAAAAGTTAGAATTGACTATTTAGAAGCTTCCGGCAGGGGTACCTTACTAAATTTAGACTTGGGAAAGAAAAAAATAAAGAAGATGGGTGGATTTTTGTCATGTAAAGAAAAAATAATAATTACTGTTCATTAAATAAATCAAAAGGCAACATTATTTAAAAAATAATTTATAAGCTTTCCTTTTTGTTAATTAAGATTCCTGCTGACAAAATCTACAGACTCACTGTAAGGCTAAAATTTGCAAAGCAGGGCAGCCCAGGTGGCTCAGCGGTTTAGCGCCCCCTTCATCCCAGAGCGTGATCCTGGAGACCCGGGATTGAGTCCCACGTCAGGCTCCCTGCATGGAAGCCTGCTTCTCCCTCTGCCTGTGTCTGTTCCTCTGTCTCTCTCTGTGTCTCTCATGAATAAATAAATAAAATCTTAAAATTAAAATAAAATAAAATTTGCAAAGTAGAAATGGAAAAATTCCTATTTTCATTGCCCTCTTTTAAAAGAATGGTTAGCAATTTGGTGGCTATGACTTTGGGATTTTGTTAAATATATATATTATTTCTTCCCCCCAAATACTATATTGTCTTCTGAAACCTGCTTTTTTCAACAGTACATTGTGGAGGGACATGTGAATGGAAATAAATATACCTTGCCCTTTTAATGGCTATAGTCTGCCATTGACTGCATGATATTTTACATAATCGATTCCCTCTTGATGGATATCTGGGGTTATTTCCAAAATTTCACCATTTACTATAATTACTGCTTTCCTTTGGAATGCAATTCAGTAGAGTGTTTCACAGGTTTTAAATGTTTTTATCTAGTAATCAGTTTTCTAGGAATCTATCCCAAGGGGAAAAAATCCTAAAGAAAGAAAAATAGACATTTATATAGGAAAAGAGGTTCAGGGGCACCTGGCTGGCTCAGTTGGTTAAGCGTGTGACTCTCAATCTCGGATTATGAGTTAAAGGCCCATGTTGTTCGTAGAGATTACTTAAAAAAAAAAAAGAGGGGGATCCCTGGGTGGCTCAGTGGTTTAGTGCCACCTTCGGCCCAGAGTGTGATCCTGGAGTCCTAGGATCGAGTCCCACACCGGGCTCCCTGCATGGAGCTGGCTTCTTCCTCTGCCGGAGTCTCAGCCTCTCTCTCTCTCTGTCTTTCATGAATAAATAAATAAAATCTTAAAAAAAAAAAAAGATGTTCATTGCCAAATTATTTATAATATTGAAAAAACTGGAGACAATTTAAATATTCACCAATCGGGGTGCCTGGGTGGCACAGTGGTTTAAGTGTTGGACTCTTGGATTTGGCTCAGGTCCTGATCTCAGGGTTGTGAGATTGAGCCCTGCATCAGGCTCCACGCTGAGCTTGGAGTCTGTGTGAGATCCTTTCTCTCTCTCTCTGCCCCTCCTGCTCATGCTCTCTCTTTCTAAAATAAATAAATAAATCATTTTAAAAAATAAAGGGGCGTCTGGGTGGCTCAGTTCGTTAAGCATCTACCTTCGGCTCAGGTCATGACCCCAGAGACCTGGGATGGACAGGCTTTGTGAGGAGCCTGCTTCTCCCTCTCCTTTTGCCTGCCACTCCCCCTGTTTGTGCTCTCTTTCTCTCTGTCAAATAAATACAATCTTTTAAAAAATAAATAAAATAAAAAGTAAATGTTCACCAATAGAAAAGCTGTTATGTAAACCATGATAAATCTGTTTAGTAGAATATTATGCAATCACTAAAATAGATTTATGTAGACTATGTAATATACCCCACCAAAACATGTGTTACTAAAAGAAAAAGCAGGATACTAGTATATTCACAGTGTGACTACCTAACAGAGTAAATAAATCTATGTGTAGAAAAAAAAATTGGAGGGGGTGTCTGGGTGGCTCAGTTAGTTAAACATCCAACTCGTGATTTCGGCTCAGGTCATGGTTTCTGGGTCACAGATCTAGCCCTGTGTCAGGCTCCACACTCAGCAGGGAGTCTGTTTGGGATTTTCTCTCTCCCTTTCCCTCTGCCCTCTACTCCCTCAAAATAAAGAAATAAATCTTTAAAAAAAAATTGGAGGACAAATTGGTAAAAACTTTTTGGAGGGCAATCTTGGGGAAGTAGGGAAGTTACCAAAATTGTGAATGCTCATTTCCACTGACTGGCCATTCTCTGTCTAGGAATTTGCCCTAAAGAAACCACAGGATACGTACTATAAATACATCTGTAAGGATGTTCACTGCAGCACTATTTGTAGAAGAAAAAAAGTTTGAAACAATCAAAATGTCAATAGGATCTTGAATATATAGATACCACCTTTATACAGTGGAATACGATTCAGCGGTTCAAGGGTGGATCTTCCTGTAGTTATGTACAAGGACTCCATGACACATTGCTTGGTAAAAAAGAGTTCTGGAATCAATGAGTATAGTATGATCCTATTTAGGTTAAAATTGCTGTATATTTGTAATTAGTTAGAAAGTTAGTAGTCCTTATCTTTAGGGTTGTACAATTATAGGGACTTGCTTTCTCTGTGCTATTTGAGTATTTTTATGACAATCATGTATGATCAGAACAAAATCAATACTGATAATTTCATTTTTTAAAAAGGAGTGTCGAGGTAGCCCTGGTGGTGCAGCGGTTTAGCGCCGCCTGCAGCCCGGGGTGTGATCCTGGAGACCCGGAATCGAGTCCCACATCAGGCTTCCTACATGGAGCCTGCTTCTCGCTCTGCCTGTGTCTCTGCCTCTCTCTCTCTCTCTGAATGAATAAATAAATCTTTAAAAAAATAAGAAAATAAATAAAAAGGAGTGTGCTTGCAAGACACATACCAAAATCTCGATAGTGGCTCCCTGGAAAGGGAGGGTTGTTGCCTTCTTTTTAAGCTTTGGCATTTACTAAATTTTAAAAATCGAGACTGTGAGGCAGTCCGGGTGGCTCAGCAGTTTGGTGCCGTATTCAGCCCAGGGTGTGATCCTGGAGTCCTGGGATGGAGTCCCACATCAGGCTCCCTGCATGGAGTCTGCTTCTCCCTCTGCCTGTGTCTCTGCCTCTCTCTCTGTATGTCTCTCATGAATAAATAAATAAAATCTTAAAATAAATAAATAAATAAAATGGAGACTATGTATATGTATATATATGTACACAGAGTTTTATAATGAAAAGCTAAAATTTAAATAAATTTAATTGTAGATTTGTAAAGAGATTTGAGGCAGCTTCAAATAAATTCAGTAGGGGTGTCTGAGTGGCTCAGTCGATATAGCACCTGCCTTCAGCTCAGGTCATGATCCCAGGAAAGTGGGATCGAGCCCTGCATCAGCCTCCCTGCTCAGGAGGGAGTCTGTTTCTTTCTCTCTCCGTGTCTCTCCAACCCTGCTCGTGCTCTCTCTCTCTCTCAAATAAATAAAATCTTAAAAAAATAAAAATAAACTCAGTAATTTTTAAAGTTTAACAAAAGTAAGATTGTGTTGCTTAGTATTCACAGTGCAGTAGGACCATGACTCAGATGTCACGATAAATACTATGCAGTGGGGAGTCCAGCCCAGATCTTATTCCACCTGGAAAAGGCATGGAGTGGATGCTAATTTACTTACTGTCCACATTAGGCATAAAAGTGGGCAAAATGAGACAGGATAACGAAAGGGGTGCACGTGACTCACGAAACCCGTGAAACTAATTAAACATGAAGTTGAGGCAGAAGTGCCCCCACCTCCCAGCATAGGGAGCTTTTTCAAGTATAAGCAAGGCTGGGCTCTTCCTGAGATTCTGATTCAGCTTGCTGGACAGGGGCATCTGAATCCTAGGAAGGCTCCCCAAGCCAACTGATTCTCCTGCACTCCCCTGGGAAGAACTGCCTTCAGAAGATCTGGCTAAAAATCCTCACAATGCCCAAAAGTAGACAAATAGGAAGAAGGCATTTAAAAGTTCACAGACCCAAAAGAGGCTGATCCTGTTAAATGCATATGGATTACTATAAAGTGAGTAATCCAATATGCTTTTAGGCAAATTGGTTTTGAGGAACTGGGATAGCTTCCCCCCCACCCCAGGAGGCCTGGATCTCAGATCTATTCCCTCGGCTTCCCTAAATCTGAATCCTGCTCCTCTCTTCTCTTCTGAGACTCAGTTTATTCATCTGTAAAATGGGATTAACACTACCCACTTTTTAGGATTGTTGGGGAGGCTTAAGTCAGATAACAAGGATGAGCACTGAGCTTAGTGCTTGGCACCTAATAGGTGTTCAATCAACATCAGCCATCCCCTTCTCATCACTGTCATTCTTGTCGGTGAAAAGGATTCTTGGGTTGGAGCAAAGTCTTGTAGCGGAGCTGGGAGCCTAAAAGGATGGTAAGTATAAGCAGACTGAGGGTTTTAAGCTATCATGAAAACTAAGGGCCCGGAATCACCCGGCCAGCACAGGCGTCTGGGTCCCCGTGGGCAGCCGAGAGGCTGCCTGGCCTGCTCAGCAGATGGTTCTGCCCACGGGAGTCCATGGCCAGAAGGAAGGGACGGCTAGGCCCAGCCCCGCCCTGGCGGCCCTCATACCTTTTCGCTACACTTTCTGATGGTGGCCGTGAGCTCACTGACTACCATATCCACACACTTGATACTGGGCTCTTTGAGCTTCTGCACCTGCTTTTTCACTGTGGCTTCAAAAGCGAGGTCAGGTGTGAAGAGGCCCGTCCTGCACCCAGGGAGAAGGAGGGGATGGGAGGAGGAGCAGCCATGGGCAGGTGGGGAGAAGGAGGGGAGTGAAAGCCAAGCAGAGCCAGGATTCAGGAGTGGAGGATGGCACGGGCATGGGGGAAGAGAGAGAGACACCGACACAGAGAAAGAGAGAGAACAGAAGACAATGTGAGTGTGGAACCGGCCCTCCCTACCACCACCCAGGGTCGGCACCTCCCAGGTGCTGCCAAATATCCCCCAGGGCTCTGTGGGTATGGGGCAGGGGGCTTCTGAGGGACAAAGCCTCTGCTCCATACAAGGCCACTTACTGAGTTCAGATTGTCTCCCCAGGGCTTGCCCCCCAGCCCCTCCTCAGCTACACTGAGCCGGCCCTCTCTGTCTTTTCCAATGCTGTCTTTGTCACAGCCTTGGGTCCTCCTAAGGGGCTGACCCAGGCCAGGACCCCACTCACCCATTCTCTTCAATTCAAGGTTTGCCAGCACCTTCTCCATCCACTTCATCCTGACTCCAAAGCCTAGCACAATTCCCTATCTCCGCCAGGATTACTGCACCCAGCTGCCCAGGCTATGCACTGCACAACTCCAGGGACTCCATTTGCATAGACCGTGGTGCAGATGATGCCTCCTGGAGTTGCTGTGTAGCTGCCTGACCTCCACTCTCCAGCTCCCTGTTCTACTCCTGCCCTCTTTCTCCTCAAGGGGCATCCTTTGCCTCTCCTCCAAATGGTCTGGAGGAACTCAGCTGGGAAAGACAGAAAAAGAGAAAAGGAAAGACAGAAAGAGTGGAGGTGGTGGTAGAGAGGGGCCAGGGCAGCAGTGGGGAGAGGAAAGGGAGGGAGGCTGAGGGCGGAATCAAACAAATACTAGATTTGGAGTCCAAAGCCTTGGCTTCAAGTAACAGCTCTGCCACCTGCTAGCTCATATGACCTTGGACAAGTCACTCAATTGCCTAAGCCTCAGTTTCCCTCTTGTGGCCTGGGTGCCATCCTCCCTGGCCTGCCCTCCTTGGGTGGTTCTTGTGAGGCTCAGATGACAGAACAGATGGAAGAGGACTCTGTCCCTGGAAGGTTGGATATGGATGGAAGGGAAGGGAAGGGTCTTGAGTGAGAGTCCTAAGTGAGGCTGAGGTGAGAATGGAGAGGATGAAAGACAGTGGGGAGTCAGGGTGCCTGCTAGACCTGGGTCCTCTGCACCCCTCTAGCCATCCAGACCCCCAGAGCAGCACCCAAGAAGGCCCTGTATCTCACCTCTCTGCAGGGCCAAAGTGTTCCCTCCCTGGAACCTCCAAAGAGGACTCCCAAAGCTGGAAGGGGGCTCAGGGCCCCTCAAGGCCTATCCTCCCTGAGCTGGAGGAGCTCTTAGTGGGCTCTCAGGACATCCATCATCACACTTGTCTTATCAATGTCTAATCCCTTGTGCCTGGGGGCCAGGGGGTGGGTAAAGCCCCTTCAGAGAGGCCCCCTGTCTGGGTCTGGGGTGGCCTGCCTCCCCCACCCCGCTGAGGTCTGTACATGCTACCGAGGAGGCAGTGGGGGGTGTGGGGAAAGAGCGCCTGGCAGCAGTGCAGGATGGGGACAGAGGTGGGAGGGCTGGCCCGGGCCACCGGGTTACCTTCTTGGTGCACTGTCTAACCGTGCTGATTAGCTCCGAGATAACCATGTCCACACACTTGAGACACGGTTCTCGGATCTTCTTCACCTGCTTTTTCACAATGGTCTCAAAAGCCATGTCTGGGGTAAAGAGCCCCGTTCTGAACGCCCGGAGCGGGAGAAGGGCACAGTGTCACAGGCCAGCTCCTACCAGGAGTGCTAGGCCAGGGCCCACCCGACCCCCTGATTTCTCCTTGGGGTCCTCCCACTATTACCCCTCTCTGGGCTTCAAGTGTCCTCATCTGTAAAATGGGCAGGATGGATTCTAATGGAGGACATTGAATTGACGCTCTTTGGGGCAAGGCAAGGTCTGCTTATAAATGTCCTGCTTCCTCTGAAGATTCTGTTCACACAAAAGGTTCTCTGGCCAGAAATGGTACGAAAACTGCCAAACTGGGTTCTCTTTAAGAGACTCTCTGGGAATAAAACATTTTATTTTAAGACTAAGAGAGAAGTTTTTTTTCTGTGTCATGGCCAATACAGTTATCAGTTTGTAAATTCCATGCCAAACCTTGGAATTGAATCTGTATAAAAGCAGGGACATTTTGGTCTTGTTCACTCCCTGGCACATAGCAGGTGCTTTAAATGTTCTTGTTACATGAACAATGTAGATCTGGGTCCTTGAAGGGGGCTAAGCTTTTGTCTTTTTTCCAATCCCTCTTCCTGTTTCAAAGGCCATGGGGTTGGCTGGAAGGAGGGAGGTGGTGTGGAGTGAGGCCCACTTTGGCCTAATGAGACTATGGGAGGGTCTGGAAGGTTGAAAACCCTGTTTCATCATAAAAAGACACAGGCCAATGCCTACATGCTCCATCCCAGGCCCTCCCCAGTGGTTTTGGCAGCTTTGCGTAGCTACCTGGATAGGACTGGAGGAAACTGTCTCATCCTGAGGATGGGCAGGGGGCCCAAGCCCAGAGGCTTCCCCAGCCTCCTATGTCACCTATGTCCTGGGCTCTGCCCAGCTGGTCCAGCCTCCAGGCCCTGCTCCCAGGGACAGCAAAGGAGGACAGCAAGCCTCTCATCCACCTCCCCCAGCTCGGGCTTGTCTGAGCTGGGAGCCAGAAAGGGTGGAGAGGATGGGGGACCAGGGCTCTTGGTCCTTCCTGAGGGCGGCTCACTTTATCACTCCCTGTGCCTTGGCATGAGACCCCCTCTGCCTTCCAGGGCTCAGCCCCTTTCCCCGGTCCCAATACGTGCCTAATGCCATGGATATTCTTGATGGCGTAGCTGATCTCTCTCCGGAGCTCCTTCTCATCAAACTCCATCTGTGCAGGAGAGCAAGAGGCAGCTGGTCAGGCCTTCCTGCTCCCTAGAAGGCCAAGACAGAGGCCCCACTCCCTATCAGCACCAGGTCAGCAAAGGTTCACGTGGAAGTCCTGGAGGGCAGGGTGGGTAGTCCTAAGCTCCCCCACTCTGCCCCTGGGGAGACTGTCCTACCTTGACTAGCTCAAAGGGGAAGCGCTCATGGAAGATCCGGTTGATGCGGGCTCCCCCTGACAGTTCATAGGTGTCAATCTGGTCCCCGGAGCCCTCAATGCGCTTCTCAAAGTCCACAGCAAACTGCTGGACCATCCTGGGGGATGGAGAGAGTGGGATGGCGTGAGGGGGCTGCAGCAGCCTTTTGCAGGGAGCCCTGGGTGGAGGGAGCCCTGAGAGAGCCTGGTGCAGAGGGGCAGCTCAGTGCTGGGGTGTCAGGAGTTGGGGCGGGCCTCACTGCAGCAGGGCCTTGGTCTTGCGTGCTGGGTCATCAGGTCGGAAGTTCTTGTACTCCTCCACCTCCTTCTCAATGGACAGTAGCTGGCTCTGCAGCCTGTTCCGGAGCCCCGGCAGTGTGTCCCGGATGTGGTTGGTCAGTTGCTGAGGGGGAAGGGGAGGCGGATGAGACAGGGGTTAAAGCCATGGTCACAAATGGAGATGCCCACAGGGCCAAGCAGAGGCCGGAGTGCCATGGGACCTGCGGATGTGGTGAGATTGAGAGATGTAGAAGGCAGCCACGATCCAGCCCACCAGGATCGAGGAGGAGAGCTGCCAAGGCCAGGGCTTGGAATACAGTAGGTGTATTAACTGAATTTGTGAGTGAACAACACAATTTTCTTTTTCTTTCTTTCTTTCTTTCTTTCTTTCTTTCTTTCTTTCTTTCTTTCTTTTCTTTCTCTTTCTTTCTTTCTTTCTTTTTCTTTCTTCCTTTGTTTTTTAAAGATTTTATTTTTACATAACCTCTACCCCCAATGTGGTGCTCAAACTTATAACCCTGAGATCAAAAGTGTATGCTTTACTGACAGAGCCTGCCAGGTGCCCCACGCAATTTTCAATAGAAACCAGAAGTCTAGATTTTTATTTGAAATTACCGGATTTTTGACTAATGGACTATTTTTAGACACCATGAGGGCCAAATAAAATGTGTCTGGGGCAAGGATGGCCAAAGGGCAACCCTCTGAGTTTAGACCTCTGGTACGGTAATTCTCAAGTTCTGGGGCTCACTCTGGCTAGTTCCTCGTACACAGTATCTCCCTGAAGTTGCACAATGATCTTATGAAGCAGGGTCTTATCACCAACATCACCATTTTACAGATGCAAAAATAGAGGTTCAGAGAGCTGGTGTGTCAGGTCTGTGGCTTCCAGAGTCCCCGGTTCTGCCCCTACACCACACTGCCTTCCCCACTGCTTCTCTTCCATCATCACACACACATACACACATGGCTCAGTTCTGAAAGCCCCATTCCAGATGGAGAAACATCTTAGGGAAGCCCCTGGGATTGCCTGTTCCTGTCTCCAGATGAGCCTCTCCCCACTTCAGAAGGAAGCAAGGCCTTCAGCCAAGTACACTCTAATAATGGCTCCCAAACCCAAGTCCTTGTCAGTGCAAGGTCTGGATCCTCACTCCATTCTGAGGGGCTACTGGACTCCCTTCCTAGGCCCCTGTCAGGGAAAAGTCAGTGAAGCTCTGCTGCTACCTTGCTGTGGGGCTTGCGGGCAAGTTGCTTTGTGTTCTGGGTCTCTGTTCACCTGCATGATGAGGACACTAACCTCTGTTGGTCAACTTCACAAAACACATTTAAATATACCTGTCCCCGTGCTGCTTTTCCCAGGCCTGAGTTCCTTACCTGGTTGAGGACCTTCTGTAGGTAGGGTGTGCCCATGCGGTCCGCCAAGTGGCGGTAGGATGGGTGGGAGAGAAAGAACTTGCGTTCAGCGGCCAAGGCAGCTGAGATGTCCTTCTTGCCATCAATGTCCTTCTGGCTTCGGTTTACCACCCCTATGTAGCCTGTGGAAGGGGGTCGAAGTCAGGGGCAACCAGCCTTGCACAGGGTGGGGTGAAGAAGGGCAGGTGGAGTGGGTCGGAGAGCCTGCCTACCTCTGCGCAGGGGAAGGAGCTTATTCTCCAGCACATCTCGGGCATCTGTGCCCTCATCCATCAGATCTAGCTTGGTGATGACCCCGATGGTGCGCTGACCTAGGGGACAGCAGGAGAGGGTCACCTACATGCTCTCCTCACAATGGAGACCACATGCACTCCACCTGCTTCCCACATCTCCCTACCCACACCCTCCCTCACCCACTACCTGCCTCTGCTCTCCAGCCTCATTTAAAGAATTTTTTTAATTCCTGGGAGACACACAGAGAGGCAGAGGCATAGGCAGAGGGAGAAGCAAGCTCCCTGAGGGGAGCCTGATGTGGACTCAATTCAGGGGCCCTGGGATCACGACCTGAACCAAAGGCAGACACTCAACCACTGAGCCACTAGAGTGCCCCTCTCCCACCTCATTTATTCTTCCCAGAGGGGCTCCTCCTGGAGCTGAGAATAGAGTCCCAGGGCCTTGTACTTCTGCTGTCCTTAGGAACCTACCCTGGGGGTCCACCTCCTTGGCAACCTTGAGAGCATCAGAGTTGGCCAGGTCGGAGTTGGCGGGGGACACAGCCAGGATGAGGCAGTTCTCTTTGGTGACGAACTGCATAAGCATGTCCCGGATCTGGAACTCGATGTCAGGAGGTTGGTCCCCCACTGGGACCTTGGTCATTCCGGGTAGGTCCACCAGTGTCAGATTCAGGACTGGACAGGGTGGCGAGAGGGCGGGCTCAAGGCGAGGGGCGTGGCCGTGGGGCGGACGGATTAGGGTACGGGGCCGTTTAGAGAGGATCCGCTTGGGAGCGTGGCGGCAGGTGCACGGGATTAGGAAAACGCGGGACGAAAGCGGCGCGGGGGGGGGGGTGGTGCGGGGCCGGGTAGGGCATTAGAGGCGTAGCCAGAGGTGGGCGGAGTCGTGGCGGGGTGGAGCTTGGGGACGGAAGGGCCGGGGGATGGGGGGGCGGGGGTCGCCGTGGGGGCGGATCTAAGACAGGGAGCCCGAAGGCCTGGGGCGGGGACACGACTCCTCACCCTGAGGCGAGTAGACGCGGAGGTTGATGGGCACCGGCGAGATGCCCTTGTTGGTGCCAGTGACCCGGTCGGTCTCAGCCTCGATCTCCAGGCGTACCTCCTCGAAGTCAGTGAATTTCTTCCCCTTGCAGTGCAGGAATTCGGCATATTCTGTCCCAGAAGGGGACGTGGGGAAGAACGGGGGAGGGTAAGCATTGTAACCCCAACCCACCTAGGTCCCATCTTCCCCTGGAAATAGACCCACACACACCCCGAAACACTGCCTTCTCCCCACTCGCTCCCCACAACAACGCCGTGTCTTCCTTATGCATTTTATCCCCACTGTCCAGGTGGGGAATCAGTGCCAAAGTCATAGAAGCAAGCAAGTTCAGCAGCTAGGCCAGACCTCTCCTTGGGGATAGGGTGGGGACGCTGGAGAGGCCGGGTCGGAGTGCTGGTCCAGAGAGCGCATACCTGTGGTGGCATTGACCAGCTGCAGGACCAGGGGCCGTCGGGTGACAATGCCTGACCCTCGGGGCAGGAAGTCCCTGCAATGAGTTGGGAGTGAGAGTAGCAATGAGTCAAGGCCTGAATGGGCTCCCTCTGTCCTGGGGGGACACATCCTGCCACTGGGAGCTCCAACTCTCTCCCAAAGTGCCCACCACACCTTAGTTCAAGAGTTTCATGTCACTCAGGAGAGATGGCAGCTGAGAAAAATGGACAAGACCTCCCCCAGATACCCTGGGTCACAGATTTATGCATAGGAGCTGCCAGGAGACCAGACCAGTAACCCCCAGATCTCTCTCAGGTATGCCCTGTGTTGTCAACCAACAAGAAGTCCCTCTGCCAACCAAGTCACGCCATTCAACTGTGGCACGGAGTGCCCCACATGCCCAAGTGGCCAGTGGCCACAGAGTGGATCTTTTTTTTTTTTAATTTTTATTTCTTTATGATAGTCACAGAGAGAGAGAGAGAGAGAGAGGCAGAGGGAGAAGCAGGCTCCATGCACTGGGAGCCCGACGTGGGATTCGATCCCAGGTCTAAAGGCAGGCGCTAAACCGCTGCACCACCCAGGGATCCCCCACAGAGTGGATCTTAAGGAAACAGAGCAGCACCTTTTCCCCTTCCTTCCTCTGTGGGGGAAGGGCAGCATCTCACTTCCCCTTGGGGGAGGGCCCATCTGGCTGGGGTTGAGGATGAGGGGGGATGGGGGAAGGAGGAGGCAAGGAAAAGAATTCATGCTTAAGTGCCTATTGCACGCCAGGCTCTTTGTGGCCAATATCTCATGAACTCCACACAATAACCTAGTGAGGTAGGTGCTATTATTCCCATTTTGCAGAAGACATTGAGGCTCAGAGGTATTCAGACTCCGGATGCAGATCTGTTTGACTCTGCTGTGAGAGCTCCTTGTGCTTCAATGCCTTGCAGACCCATTCTTTGAAGGATGGGATCTGAGGGGTCTCCGAGTCACTGCCCCAGACCTGATGTCTATACCCCAGATATCTGCTGGTGCCAGTGTCAACCTCAGCCGTCCTTTCGGCTAGCTCTTGTGGGTGCTGATTCTCATCCTGTCAGCTCTTCTCATATCCACTCCCACCCTCGGCCCCACCCAGGCCAGTGCAAGCATGGGGGCAGAGGTCTCTTCAGGGACCAGACTGTCAGAACTGCAGTCATGGGATCCCCAGGACACAGGAAAAGGCGGAGCAGGTTACAGCCTGAGGGATCCAGTTGGCCACCGAATTCACGGAGAGGCACATGGAGGCCTAAGAAGGGGAAAGGACACATTCAAGCTCCTACAGGACTTGGACAGAGCTCGAGAAGAAACCAGGTCTCCTACCCCCAGCCTAGAGCCTGACCTGAGCCACATAGTTTCCTGCACCCCCACCCCCACCCCCACTCCCCACTCCCTGGCCCCGGAAGGTCCCAGGAACAACAGAATAGGCCCAGGCTGCTGGGTTCCAGGCCTCCTCTAGGGCCCTGGGGAGACTTCTTCCTGCCCTGCTGTTCCTCTGGGGGAGATTAGAGGCTAATAGGGCGGAGCCAGCCACTTCAATGGGGAAGGAGAAGGATGACATATCCTGCAGTTATTCATCATTTCCAGGTGCTAGGCAAGCACTTTTCATTTTTGCAAGACTGAGCCTCAGAAGGGTGGGGCCAGTGTCTTTCTGCGCACCATGGTGTCCCATTGTCTGGCCCAAGGCTTAGCACACAAGGGGCACTTAATAAATGCTGACTGAATCCCCTGGTCCTCAATGCTCAATAACAGTGCTCAATAAAGAAATTATCCTGTTACAGATGAAGTAACTGAGGCTCCGCGATGAAGTGACTCATCCAAGGTCACCCGGATGGGAGTGTCAGAGCTTGGATTCAAATCCAAGGGTCTGGGATCCCTGGGTGGCGCAGCGGTTTGGCGCCTGCCTTTGGCCCAGGGCACGATCCTGGAGACCAGGGATCAAATCCCACGTCGGGCTCCCAGTGCATGGAGCCTGCTTCTCCCTCTGCCTGTGTCTCTGCCTCTCTCTCTCTCTCTCTCTCTCTCTCTCTCTCTGTGTGTGTGTGTGTGACTATCATAAATTAAAAAAAATAAAAATAAAATAAAACAAATCCAAGGGTCTGTTGGACCCCAAAGCCTGGGAAGTTCCCTGTCAAACTCAGCTCCTCCTTCAACCCAAAACACCAGACTTGGCTTTTTATGTAATTCAATTACATTCAGTCTAGGACATATTTGGGAGCAGCTGCTCTGTGCCAGGCCCTGTGCTGGGCCCTGGGGATGTGAGATGATGAGTCAGACAGCTCCCTACCCAGAGGAGGAGCTCACAGTGTGGTGGGAGAGACAGACAAGTAAACAGATAATGCAATGCAGTGTGACATGTGTTGGAACGGAGATGCACCAGGCAGCACAGAGAAGGAGGGGATTAACAGGGCCGTGGGGGGTGGGGAGGTGTTCTTGTCTCTCCCATCCATTACTCCTTTGGGGAGTGACCCTCTAGTATTTGGGAACCCCCAGGGCTGTGGAAATAGGACATCTGTCCTCACAGAGGCTGGGCTGGCTTGGGGGCCCGGGGTCCACCCTTTCCCCCACCAGCTTCTCACCCAGCAATACCATGGCAACAGCAGTTGCCATGGAAACTACAGGAGGGGCTGGGAAGGATAGGACTCCCCACAGAAAGCCCCCTACGCAGAGACATGGACCTTCCCTGGAGCTTTTCCCTGACAGGCCTCCCCTGCACAGATGGGCCCACTCGGCCCTGGCAGACCTGCAGGTTGGAGGTCAATGAGGTGCTGCATGGAGAGGTACAGGGAGCCCAGGGCCCAGCTGGAGGGGTGGTCAAGGGTCTGGGCCAGGCTTCACCAAGTCACTGCCTCCCCAGGGTTACTTAAAGGACAAGCAGCTTATGAGAAGCAGAGATTAGAGGGGCAGGGCTATGTGTGGGAGTAGAGCCCCTCCTCAGACCAGGAGCTCTTGGGGCCAGGGTGTAGATGGGGGTGGCAAGGTGGGGAGAGGCCCCACCTCTGTCATGGCCCAGGTTCTCAGAGTGAGACCCTCATGTAGCCTGCAAGGACAGCTTATTAAACTGTGTGTTACTCAGATATGCTGGGTGAGGATCTAGTGGGGCTGGGGTGGGAGAGAGGGAATATGGATTTTAATAGTCATTTTTGGGGGCGCCTGGGTGGCTCAATGGTTGAGCGTCTGCCTTTGGCTCAGGTTGTGATCTTGAGGTCCTGGGATCTAGTCCCGCATCAGGCTCTCCTCAGGGAGCCTGCTTCTCTCTCTGCCTGTGTCTCTGCTTCTCTCTGTGTGTCTCTCATGAATAAATAAATAAAATATTTAAAAATAAATAAATAAACAGTTATTTTCATGTTTGCTTTCAAGTTTAGTGGTCAGGAGCCAATGCCAGGCAGAGGCCCTGGTTTCGAATCCTGCCTTGGCCATTCTGCGATCTGGACAAGGCTCTTTACTCTCTGTGCCTCAAAACCTTCAGCCTCTAAACCAGCATCATAGAAACTGGGCATCATCTGCTACCACACGTGGGCTGCAAGGTCCATGGAAGCTCTTCATGCAAAGGGCTTAGGCCGGGCCTGCTACATAGAGGGTGCTCAGCAGCCCCAGGGGGCTGCCCAGGGGCCACCTGTTCTCAACCCCCTCTCTAGGAGAGTTCCCAAATTTCAGCAAGGAATGCAAGATCCCACAGAGCCCTCTGGCCACCTCCTCCAAGCACTGACTGGGGTCTCAGGATTCTGACCACAGAATGTTAGGTGCAAATGCATGTTAGGTGCAAATGCAAATATTAGATGCCTGCTGAGGAGGAGAAGCTTTCAGAGACCATGTCATCCCTCTACCATTGTCTAGAGGAGGTGGGGGATGGAGGCTCAGAGAGGCACCAGGAGCTGTGACAGAAGAAGTGGCTGAAAGGGGACCAGGGACTCACACCCTGGGCAGGCAGCAAAGAGTACTAGCTGGTTCACACGTCTAGACTGAGGTCCTTGCTCCCTGCTGGCTTCCCATGCTCACCACAGGCCAGGCAAGGAGTAGGTGCTCAGGTAACCCTCACAGGAGCAAGCATAGCTGAACAGTTCATGGCTCCTGCCCTCCACCTGGACCCACGGTCCCCGGCACTCTGTTATAGTGGGGGTTAGGGCCTGATCTGGCCTCCAGCCAGTGCCACCCTATACCTCCCACCCGGCTCCTGTGTAGGCTGAGGGAGGACAGAGAAAAGTGTGCTGGGCCCACCAGCCCTGGGAGCCATGTGGGAGGGGTGCATGGTGGCATGCCAGCTCTCCCTACTCATTCTGGACAGATGGTGGTATCCCGAAGAAGCTTTGCCTTGCCATCTGCAGAGGCACCTTCAAACCTGAAGCACAGGGAGGGTGAAGTAAACACCTCTGAGGACCTCCAGGCACCACATGCTTCCTGTGTGAATTGGCACTGTCACACCCAGAGGGGTCTGGAGGAAAGACATCAGAGGTCCGAGGAGACCCTCCTCTACTCCACTCTAAGACCTGAGATCTGGGGCCAGAACTCAGGGACGCTGCTTTCCAGGTCCTGTTGAATACAAACTACACCAGAAAGCAGCATGCTCTGGCTAATGCGTACCCAGCGGCCGTCTTCCTCCCAGGTCTCCTCTTTCCCAGGCTCTGATGTCACACACGCCCAGTGTTGAATATCAGAGCTGCCACGTAGGAGCTGTGTGGCTCTGAACAAGTGACCATACCTCTCTGAGCCTCAGTTTCCACATCGGTAAAATGAGTTGCTGTGAGGCTCATCTAACTTGATGCCCGAAGAAATGGTAGCTATTATGATTGCAAATAATATGACTTACTGAGTAAGCTGAGGACCCAGGCTGGGCTCCCACCAAATGTGCAGCAGGGAGGGAGCTGGAAGGTGGGTCTCCTGGGGGCCGGCCGGAAGAGTGGGCTGGTGGGCCAGGACATTTCCAGCCAAATCTTGCCCCTGAAAGCGGAAGGCAAGGGGGGAGGCCGGGAGGCTGGGAGGTGCCCTCTGAAGCACGGAGCTGGAGTGGAGGCCAAGGAGGGGGTGGGCCAATAA